TTATGAGTGAGCTATACTCAGAAAGGAAACATAGAGAGCACTCTAGCGCATTTCTGTACTTCACTGGCAGCGGAGCACGGGCCCTGAACACAAAGACTTTTCCTCTGGCTTGCCAAGAATGAGGAGCGGGATACTTCTAATAGTCCTTAGCATCTTCAAAAATGGAGTAGTCTTCATGTTCCCTTTCATTCCTTCGGTCGCTGCTAACGTGAGGTTGAAGTGGAGCCACAAGGCTCCAGCATAATCCAGGAAAGCGGGGTTCTTACGAAATTAAAAAAGAGAACGGTGAAATAACCATGCATCTCCTGTCAGGACAATTTACGTCGCTTTGTGTGAGCGAGGCATGCATGGGGTTGTATTGGGGTTATATTGTGTCTTTGCTCCCGGGCTCGGGGGATTGCATCTCACGTGCAAAGATGGAGGCCACTGCGGCCGAATTCTGACCACCATCCTGTACTTGCGCCTCAGCTATGCGCATGAAAGCAGACAGCTGCAGCTCTTGGTCCCAGTGAGGTGTTGGGATTGTTCTCATCATCTTGACTTTCCCTTGTCAGCATACTTAGTTTTGCGTTTCAGAACATGACGAATTTCAGTTTTTCTGGATGGGTCGGATTCACGCTATTCTTTCTTTGAGGACTTGCAGTTGATCAGAGCTGCGCCAATTTCTCCAGACGACGTTCACGGATAACAAGGTTTTCCCAAACTGAGCAAGACATACTAGTGAATTTGTAGGCCGGTACATAGGATCAGAAACTTTCAGCACAGCATAGGGCGAGGAGCATGTCAACCGTGCTGAAGTGATGCAGCGCGCTACATGGCATTTCAGTGCGCCGTTAGGACATAATTTCCGGACTTGCTGGTTGTTAGTAAGGTATGATTGAATGGAGAGGAACGTGAAACTTCACCTGTGCTTGGCAATATAGAGGCTGCTCAAAGGATCCAGTCCTCCATGACCCTTAACCGACCTTAAACCAGCAAGTGGGGGTTTCCCACAATTAGGGGAACTTTTTCGGGGTCCCCATAGTAAGGATTACCTTATTTTGGGGTCCATACTGGGGTTCCCCTAATTTTAGGAAACTACCAAGTAGATATGTGTCCTTCACAAGCAGCATCCAAGGAATGAGGATTGGGATGATGAACTCGCAGGCTCCATACGACTTTTCGAGGCCACGTTGTGTGACATGATTTAGATAGACAGGGATTATATAGGGAGAATGGAAAAGAAAATGGAAACTACTATAAAGGGGTTGTACAGGGTTTAGGGCTTAGGAACTGGGGTTATATAGGGATGATGGAAAGGAAAATGGTAACTATTACATTATATTAGGGTATAAATTGGGGTTATGTAGGGGTTTCATGGCTTCAGTCAATTCTCAGTGTTAATAACAGGCGCATGGACAAACGTTTGCAGAGTTATTGCCGCAGCATGCACCGCTTCCATGACGCAAGCTTGATTGCATTCTTGTGGTCAAGACCTGAGACCTACATCACTTGCCAGACCCCGGCATTTTTTCCGCGGTGCCTCCATATTTGGGACAAATCGTTTGCCCTGAGCGGTTGCTCGAGCTAAATGAAGCTTCATAGCAGATTTTAGAACCCCCGCCCCCACAGAGCCATGACAACCAGCCAGGTAGACTGGTTTAGCAGCGGCGTCAGGACAAACACTTTGTAGTTGCACTGATGTGGGCAACTAGCGCAGAAGCCAATTCAACTCCCAATATTTGATGGTATAGGGTACCTTAAATAGACCTCAACAGGATGTTGGGCCTACAGTAGGCTCTTTGGCACCAAGGTCTAACCCAGACATGGCCCCCAGCAACAGGTGAAGCCTCCGCTGGACATCCGGGCAGAAGTCCTGCCAAAGGCGAACCGTTTACTCTGTTCCTTGGATCGAGTATTGACGTTTTTAGGCCAGGCATTTAGAAGTATATTCGAACGGTTGGAAGGCCCTAACCCAAACAAAGCCCGCAAATCCCACAAATCCCTACACCTTCAGTTGCTAAAGGCTTCTGGTCTGATGAGATCCCGCATGAAGTGCTACCTCCGCGAAGAGGACGGATCAAGCTTCGTCGTCCTATATAGTTTTAGGGTGTTCGGTGTGAGGGGTAGGGCTGTAAGGGTCAGATTCTAGTGTTAAGGAGGGTGTTGGGTGTAAGGGCAGGCTATAGGCTTAGGGTTCAGGGTGTAGGGTTCAGGGTTTAAGGTAGGTCAGGGTTGCAAGGTTTAATTAGAGCCATTGCGGATGGGTTGTGCCAGGTGTTTGTCTTTTTCTGAGGGTCTGAGGGCCCCCAACTAGGAGCAGCTTCTGTTTTGGTGTGGAAGGGTGGGACCAGAGTTTGTTCCACATGGGAAGCATACAGTGGGCTCCTCAACAAGGACCCATCTGAGCCACGGGATGCTGTTTAAGCTGCGAACATGTGGTGTTTGGTTTTTTTTGCATATCCATGGCAAAGATGTCTTCATGAATATGGAAAGCCACCATCGGCTCTTATGCCCATCATCGTTTTCATCACCATCACCGTCAGTCAGGCTGAGGAAGAGGACCCCAAGGTTAGGTCAGGGTGACTCCTTACCTATTGGGGTAATATTGGGTTACATTGGGATAATGGAAAAGAAAATGGAAACCACAGGGTTAGGGGTACCCTTTAAAGGGGCTTATCTTGAGTCTGAGGATCCCCAAGAAATCCTTTGGGAAGCTCTTTGGAATAATCCTGGGTAGGGAAGGCGGATGACTTTTTGGCTTCTTGCGGCTGATATCTGACATGGTGCTGGCAGTAGGCTACGACATGAATGGGGGTAAGCCCATGTTGCCGAATGGGTTCCTCAGGGAGCATACATGCATCATATCCGTGTCAGAATTGTACGTAGGCCTTGCTGCGACAGCACAGTAGCCAACCTACAATCTGAACATCCAACAGCCCTACCATCAAAAGACTGCTAGCCCCAAAGTCCCCAAAACCTTGGGCCCCAAGCCCGAGAACCCTCATACCGAGCCTCATCCTGGCAAGACCGCTTTGCTTGCACCTTTTGGTACCTGGACCGCGAAGAAGATCCGTGCCTCGCACAACGCGGCTTAGGGTTGAGGGATTAGGTGTTTAGGCACTATAGGGGTTTAGGGATTAGGGTATTAGGGGAGTAGGGGTTTAGGGATTAGGGTATTAGGGGATTAAGAGTTTTGAGTTTAGGGATTAGGGAGACAGAGTTGCGCACAGGCTCTCGCACAACGGGGAGCCGAACATAGGGGCCTAAATGGGGGTTCGGGTGGGGTTCGCGCTGGGTTTCTCGTGGGGATTGCCCCAATCCTGGAGAATCAAACGGACAAGAAAATTGGACAATTCAATGGAATCTGCGTTTATAGAGGTGTTATAAAGATTTCCTGAAGCATCAGCTACATCACATTGAGGTCTTTGAGCCTATGCCTTGATTATGTGAAGGATATAGGACCGTAATGTTGGTCATTATGTAACCTTCTACAGTACGCTTCATGATCTAGGCCTTTGGAGGTCCAACGGGCATGTATCTTGGTCGTTTGAGCACTCATGGCTGAATAAGGTGTGACATCAAGCTGTTGGTTGATCCCTGCATACGGCTTAGTCATAAAGTCGTCTTTGTGAAGCCTCGTCCATGCAAGGCCCAGATAACATCCTCTACATCATCCTGTGCACGGACCCCCCCCCCTCGTCCCCTTTTAATTTATACATTAGGTTGGGCACCCAATCGCTCATAGAGACCATGAGGGATACTGGTAACTAGTATTATAAGGTGTTTATGTAGTCTTAATATACATATGTTATTGGGTGGGGGCCCAACCTAGTCATACATCCCAAGGGTGCCTACTTGGAGGGTCAGGTGGACTTAGCAAGTATACTTATAACCCCTAGAAGCCATACAGTAACCCCAATTATCCCTATTATTAACCTAGCTACTAAGTCCCCCTGTCCCTCGAAGTAGGGACAACCCTTCGTTTGAGAAATGCCCAGGTCTTCCGTGGCCTTTGCCAAGGCTCCTGCAAGTCAGGTTCAGATGGCCAGCCAGGGCCTTGAGTATCAACGGTTTAGGGGTTCAGGTTTAGGGCAAAAGGGATCGCCTAGACCTCCTAATTACCCACAATAATGGCGTTGGGGTTCTACTTGGAGCGACAGGGGGGCTTAGTAGGTATACTTCTAACCCCTAGAAGCCATATAACAACCGCAGTTATCCCCATTGCTTACTAACGCACCCCTTCTCCCCCCAACCCTCCAAATTAGGGCACTCTGGAGAAATTTCCAACATGCTATGCCATGTCACAGCAAAGATTTCAGAACAAGTCCACGGGAGCGATGGAGTTCTGCAGGACCCCGAAACTGGCTGCGTTTTATGTTCAGATGTTCAGATGGCTGCTGCGTGTGCTGAGGTGGATCCATGTTCCTGGATTGAAGCGCCGATGTCGCCTGACTGCGTGTGCTTGAGTGCGACAGCGAAAAAAGGGGCTTGAAAGTTAAACTGGCTCTGAGAGATGTTTAGCAGAATGCCTCAAGAAGCACAGGGCCCCGAGAGCGCACAGACGGATAACGTAGAAACCTGATGTCGGAACATTGTGATCCTGTCGCCCACGAACTGAACAATGCCAAATTCCCAAAGTACAGCTGTAGAGACACTTGGGGTAGACACGGCAGAATGTGGCTCGAAAGTCCCTCATTATTTTTCGAACAGAAGGCTCAACAATTCCTAGCCGCTTGAAGTAAAAAATAAGTTCCATAGCTCCAGACTTCAGCTCCCATCGCTGCTCCTGCACGGCTCAAAGCGTGCCATGGGGTGAACCTTACAGGTCCGCCCCGGCGCGGGCCGGCTGCCGATTAGCAGAGCGTACCTTCATGTGGCTATGAGTTCTAGGGATGTTCCTGCAGACAAATTGCGAGTGTGGAGGTACATGAGTGGAAGTTCATTTTGCGTAATTGTTTCCAGAGTTTTTCCAGGATGGAATGTCACAACAATTTGCTACGGGCTTTCGCTGTGGCTGAATGCATCACTGGGAGTCCATGCTTCTGCTACTGATCCAAGCTGCTGCTGTCCTCACTTTCCCTTCCTTGTGGCTTGGTTGAGAAGTCCTTTCCCTTAATCCAAAACACTACATCCCCCAGCGTAAGCATGCATCCCAATGTGTAAGGTTTCTTATAGGGTGCATCTTTCATGTCATGGGTGGGGGTGTTGGATTTTCGGGGGAAGGTTTAATTTGGGTAGCCACTCCAGGCCATGTCAGTCTTGAAGGCGTGCAGCAGCACTTTGTGCTTTGCTGATTGAGGATGTGGGTCTGGTTCAGCACGAGAGATGGTTGGGTTCCAGCAGATTGTTTCGCTTGACGTACTCACCCAAGGATAGAGGTTTTGAGCCGGATTCCCCGCTGAAATCAGATGCTGTTGCGTTTTTTAACCTAAGAAGCAGCTGTTCACTTTTAGGCCCGCACTGCAGCGTCGAGCATTTGTCAATATTGGACCTGATGTCCCGCTTTTTCTCCCAGTCAACTTCAGTAGTTGTACTTCCTCAGCTCTTATCATGTCTGCCTTCGCGACCTTTCCATGGCTATTGACTTCACCATGCCATACGCACTTTTGTCCCTGGATTCCAGTCTTATTGAGGGACCCTGGAGTATCCAGGGGCCCTTCTGAAGGCAATCCTCCTGCATACCTGCATAATAAGTCTCGACATGTCATCAAGGACAAACGCCGCAGCGTGCGCTGCAGATGAGAATGCCGTGAAGCCATCATCGTGTCTTGGGCACGGCTGGCTTCACATCTGGCGGTTTTCGTCGCTCCCTTTCTCTCTCTCTCTCTCTCTCTTTTTCTTCCTCTCTCTGATGACCCAGGAATCTTGGAGGCCCTGTCACTTCAGGGCCCATTTGAGCCTCTAAAGATTAATGGCACGCAACGTTTCAAAAGCCTTGGTTGGCATTTCAAGCAGAGATTCTTTGTCGCAGCGCACGCAAATATAGGAATCTGTATAAATGCCTAAGTGGATAAACCCCGAAATATTGTGTTCGTTGTTGTAGAGGCTCCCAGAAAGGGGCCACTTATTGTTGCAAACCCCCATTGGTATTGATTATGGTTCATTTAGGCATCATCGGGTTCTCATGGCCTGACCTGTATTGCAGCGGAAACGTACATAAGGACCTGTGACACACCAATTCGGGGGAAGCCACATGCTGCAAAGTTTGAAAAATGTATACCAACATATATACATATACACATTTATATACATCACTCTCTCTCTCTCTCTCTTTCTCTTTGTCTTTTGCTGCTAGGGTCTCAGACAGGGTATCAGACTATCCTGGCGTAACTGTTCAAGGTTTCAGATTCAACGCCTGGCCTTGTGTTCTGGGCTTGTGGTCTGCAAGGCCAGCAGCTAAGCATTGCTGAGTTCGTGGCTCACGACTGCACACGAAAACCAAATATCGCAATTTGCAAGCTTTGACCCCTAGCCGCAAGGCTTCAGGTCCCAATGCAGTACAACCCCAGCAAAAGCCTTTGGCTGGGCCTAAAACTTCCAGCCTTAAATCCTGGGCCATACATTGGAACGACCTGTCATGTGCGGTGAAGCCAAAGATTTGAAAACACCTGTGCAGAATTCAACGACCTCACCAGACCCCTGACAACAAACAGTCCCTAGATTGCCTATTCTCAGGCTTTGGTAATATTTCAGAACATCGCCTTAGACAATTTCCCTGGATCACAAGGTGAAGAGATGCCTCTACATATGGGTCTGTGAGAGGATAAAGAATTGACATGTATACGTCAGGATATAATCCCCTTAAGTAGATAGAATACGGGGTATATGGGGGTCTTCTTGTATTATACCCAAAGCCATATTCTATCTACTTAAGGGGGAACTATAACTTCCTGGCATCTCTAGAGCACCCCTATTGCGCAAAATCCCAAGGTGTTTGCTGCAGGCTCAGCCTGGCAGATCATCGAGGTCCTTTGCTTTGAGCATAGATTCCCCACATTTCCCCACTATATGGTTAGGGTATTGTAATTAGGGCTTATGCTCAGGTATACGGGTATATCTGAAAATCACGGGGGGCTACTAGCAACCTGTAAAGTGAGTTAGCCCTCATGTTTAGTCAAGGAGAGCTCGAAGACTTCAAATCCCTTAGCTGTAGAGCAGCTTAAAGGTTAAGTTGGGTTAGGCCACCACCCACTGATAGCGGTACACCAGGAATAAAAAGAGGCCCGAACACAATTACGAGTCCCTTGTGGTCACTATTAGTGGGTGGGGCCCAACCTAACCCACGACCTGAATGGTTACGCCGATATCGGTGTTTCTCTCCCGTACAGACTTGCCACATGTCTCTATTCTTATGAAGTGGGTCCGCTTGTAATTCAGGATCCCATGTGGCCCTAACAGAGGCAGTACCGTAACATAAATCAGGTGTCTCAACCTGGTTCATACAGGGTGAGAAGACTTCCGCGGGCCTAGAGCTACCAGTGTACAGCTATTTTGCTTTCAACCTCACATTTATTTATTTGAAGTTTCACGGGTGGTTCTACTTGGAAACAGCCGTGGACGCACTAGACTTGTGACGACCTCATAAGAACTGTATTCAGGGCCTTTGTGTATTGCTGCTAATAGCTACCCGCAGTACTGTATATCCCGAATCAGGTCTCTATTTGTACGGTGCTAAGAATACTGATGAAGCCTGGAGGCCTCCATTCTTGGAAGTTTGTGTTTAAAAGGTGGAGTTTTCTCGCTTAGTGCAGCCGATTGATCTCTCCTCCCCTTTGTCTGAAAACCCCATATGAATGCATGTGATTACCCAAAATTTCAGACCCTGAGCCTCTGACCCTGTAATCCTCGTAGCTCTACCCAGAACTCACCCAAAGCCCACTACATCAACCTCACACATCGAAGAGAACTCGCCATGACTACCCTGAGCTTGGAACCCTATTATTATTGTTATTGTAATTATTGTTATTGTTACTAGTGCTATTATAGTTATTCTCATTTTTTAAAGTTGCCTGAACTCCAAAGCTTTGTGTTCCTTGTTGCCCTATCAGAACTGCCCATCGATTTTTTGATGGACAGCCTCCGTAAGCCTGCAATCCCTTAACCCTGCACATAATGACCGGATAGCCCCCTGTAAATCGAACCAAATCATACAATCCTCATAGCCCTGACAAACCCTACCTATAAGCACGGCACCTGGACCTACCAAAGCAATCTCCAACTACCCTGTACAAAATTCCCATATTGCCAGCGACACTCCGTTGCCTATAGCTTAGACGTAAGTACCCCCTAACTAGTGCATATGAACCAGTAAGGTAATTGGGTTTCTAGGGGTACCCCTATGTATAAGCCATAGTCTACACTCCTTAAAGGGGGATTATATAGGGACTACTGTAGGGGTTATTGAGGGGAATACTAGGAATTTACATTATAGCTCATACTGGAAGCCCTAAACGCAGGTTCGGCGAGAACCGGCAGGGCGAGCGTGCGCTCCGCGCCCTGCGAAGCCAGGTGCGGAGGGGCTTAGTCGGGCTTTTTGGGGGGGATATGGGGTGCAGAGTTTTAGAGGATTGGGTTTTCCAGAGGTAGGTTTGAACATGTTTTCATTGTTCATCCTAAATCCCTATATGACCCATTGAATGCCATTCAGCTTTAGTCTTGCATAGGGCCCCTGAACCTACCCTAGTTTAGTAAGACGGCGCGGCCATGTGACATTTTTGTTGTGAGGTCATGAACTTGTTGTCTCATGTACTTTCTGCTTTAGGAAGAATTGGCTCATGTTCGTTCAAGGGCATTAGTTCTCGGAAAGACATTCAGCATAATCTTCATGCGGGCGGATACGGGCGATGATAAGTATACAAGTATCGTGAGAAGTATTGTAACCGCAGGCTTTGTTTCTCCTACGACTGAACTTGTATAGGAGCATTTTCACAACTGGAGTTGTTTTAATTTTGTGTTGTGAGTGCTTAGATGGCTGGTGTTCTGTGAGGCTAGCGTTCAGGTCCCCAGTTTTCAGATCAAAAGAATCAACAGGCCTCCAACCTCAAACGCAAACCTATGCCGACCCCAGATTCTGACGCCTACCCTCCTGAGTTCAACCTTAAAAAAGGCAACCCATTCTGGGACCGCACGCCCTAGGCCGTGTAAAACCCAATTCAATCACCATAAAAACAAACCTATGCATACCCCGGGGTTCCTTATAGTTCCTTGTTAAATTGCTTCAAACATGACATTCTTGTGATTTAAAGGGGGTTCACAATAACCCCCAAAGTGATGTTAAACGCAGGTTGTATAGCGAACGTGTACCCCTGGGCCGAAACCCAGGCGTGCCAAGCCTACTACCAGCTGCCCATGGCAAACACCGGGAGCCTGGCTTGGGATGACACTGCATATCTTCTCAGGCCTTTGGCACCCTGATGATGAGTAGGGAATTAGGGAATATATTGCCTATAGAATATATTCATATTACTTCCGGTAATTACCCTTGAAAGAGGCTTATGCAGATTTCGTGTGGCCCCACTACCCTTCTAGTCTTATAAGAGGGTGGTCACCTGGTAACTGCCCACTTGAGGGTGTCCTTGACTCACTTGCTGAAGATGGACATCCCGTGCATGTTGAGAACAGCCTTAGTCAAGCATGCCTAGGCAAATCCACCTAGATGGAGGGCCTTTTGTGCTTCAAGTTCGGTGGATTTTGCGCAGTCTTCTCCTCCCTGAAGCTTCCAGCAGGCAAAAAACAGAGCTGCCGAAGAGCCTCGGTCCCTGAGTCTGGAGTGTACTCTGGAATGTGTGCGTAGGAATTTGGTTTGCAAGAGCCGCAATATGCCATTGTGGACTCCGGCTGTATGTTATTGAATCTCCAGCTGAACCCAGTCTAAAATAGCAGCAGTGGGGGCTGCGAGGGGATTGGCTGCACTGTTCTCCTGGTTTGTGCCCAAGTTTGGAATGCCTTGTCATACCAGTTTATGTTCAGGGCAAGGAAATCGATAGTTGTGAGAGCTAGGCATGTTTCGGTGTTCATCAAAATTGCTGGCTGAAGCGCATGTCGAGTTCTAGACATCCAATCATCCAAAACCGAAGCTTCTCAAGCACCTTCATACGTAATTCTGAGCAGGGTCTCCCACAATGAGCCTGTGACGGTTGATGGACAACCTCTGGCCTGACCCTTGCAATGCCGGCTGTACTGCATACTTCCCCGATCTTGGTTGCATTGTATATCGCAGGGTTTGTGCATCAAAAATACTTTATTACTAACAGTTATACTAACAAATACCTCTACTCTGAGACACCTCCCTGTAGCAGTACCAAGCTGAGGAATTACTTCGGGCCAGAGCTGGCCTACACTTCGTTCCAGCGCCGCTTGGCTCTTCTGAAGGTTGTTTGTCGGTTCGTGGTCCTCTAGTGGTAGATTGCAATAATTGGGTACGCAGGGTCATGTAGCGACCGACGCATACTCACCACATGTTCCTCTACTTTGCGGGCCTTGGAGTTTTAAATTGCTGGACCGCATCGTTGCAGATTCAAAAACATGTTCTGCGCCCTTAGGCTTCAGGCTTGAGGTTTTGCAAGCGAGAGGCTTCGGGTGGTTTTGCTTGGCAGTGGTTGCCCGAAAGTTTACTTTGCTCCCTTGACAGGGCGCTTTGCCAGCTCCTCCCCTACCTCCCAGCGCAGATCAAGTGCACAAAGCTTCTCTTGTCCTGAGATGAACCCATCACACGTCACCAACTTCAAAGCATCAGTCTGTACTTGCAGACAGCCGAGCTCTAGACTGACATGCAATTCAGACGCTGACCCTCCTGGGCACCTTAGCTGATCCCTCCAAAGAAGCACCAGATTTTCAAGCTTCAAATCCTATTTGGACCTTAGGTGATGATGTAGACCCTCATTGGGTTTGTTGCGCCTCTCTAGCTTAGATTGCTTGCTTATTATCCGGACCCCAATCAGAGAACTACATTGAAGGCATATGTACCCTAAATGCCACACGTCGAACTCCCCAAGGAATGTTGACCTATGAAGATGTGGCAGTGCAGCCGAATTTCTCCAGGGTCAAGGCTGCGGGGGACGGGAGGATCTCTCATAGTTGCACAAATCAATGATTTTGGGATTGGGGCGGTGCACGGGTTTTCCGACATGCTAGTAGGTCCCTCCCAGGAGGAACATCATGGGGATCACCAATTTCGTCCTCACTTACACTTGGCATCTATGGAACAGCTTCGAGTAGTTTTGTCAGCTTAGAGCTCCGTTGCATGGAAGTCGCGTTCCTCCGCACAGAGTGGACTCAGCGAACGACGAGAGATGTCGTCGAAATCCTTTCAGACATTCCCGTCTTTTTGGGTAAGCAAGAAGCTGAGGCAATTCGCATATGAAACGCTCCCCCAGGGCAGCACAGAGTTTGAGCGTGGAAGGGCGACCTGTATTAACTTGTTTGTTCTGATGGGAAAGTGATGCAGAACCAAGTGGCAGGAGCCTTGCGAGTTCAACTCCACCTGCCCGCGCGATGTGTACGAGGCGCTCGGCATGTTTGTCTGCGACTACAAACTGGGATATATGGAGATATGTAGGGATGTACAGGGTTATATCGGGAACTCTGGGTGTATACAGGCTAAAGCTCTTGGTCACAGTTTTAGAAGAGATTTAAACAAGTTTTGGGACCCTGTGGTGCGTTTTTCCGCAACAAGGGCTCTTTGCAGGACCTTCGCACATTTTCGTGAGTATTTGAAGGCTTTCTGTCACGCCTCGGGTCTGTTGTTACATTGTGGTGCTGCTTTGGGATGCCTCCCCTGTAGATCCTTTAGCAATGCATGCATCCCATTGGCTGCCGGCCAGCAGCATATACTGAGGCCAGTTGCGGATGCTCTTTTATTACTTGCAGCATGCGTAGGGCATGGCTATATTATTCCTCACCACCCACTGAGGACTCCCTCAACCTCCCACGTCTAGCAATGTATATTCTTCCCTGTCTATCTAGGTAGTACATACATGTGGAATATTTGATGTCGACGGGGTGGTTGTGTTCAGAACAAGGAAGGGATTTGGACCCCCAAAGACCAATAAGCCGGCTTGATCGCTCATTCTGATACTTTTTACCCCTGAAGACTGCCAGGTGCAGAGGCAGGTATCATAGGCCGACATCAGGCGGTTGTTCGCACTTTGCGCGTGCTCCACTTTCTCAGCTCTTAGGGCTCAGGTTATGGCTCCGTGAAGGCTTCTATTCAAGCCCCTTCACGTTTCAATCTAGTCAACGGCTTATATAAAAGGGGTCTGGACTGTACGCCGGGGCCTTGATATCTGACATCAAGAAGTATGATTCACTTTCGACGTTGTCCGATCCTGCTTTCCATTACGCCGCCTCTGTGAGAAGTGAATTTCGCCAGGACCCTTCGAATTTCGTAAGAGGGACTGAGGTTCAGTTTTTTTGCGCGGAGCATGTATTTCTTTCGAAGATGATTGGGCAACAGCTATAGACACAGTGCCAAAGCAAAGCTGCTACTGCTTCCTATGTCCAAATCTAGGCCCTGGGCTACTGCCTTCCCTACGCTGTACATGCCGCGCAGCGCCCCATCAAGGCCGGAGGGAGGTTTTTGATGAAGTTGAGAGTTCAGGGGCCAGGAGGTACGAAGCCTGTTGCACTAGGGGCCAGGAGGCGAGCACCCGAGTGACTGCATAGCTTGCGCATCCTTTCAAGAGGCACCAGTCTTCTGGCAGAACAGCTGCGATCACAAGATGGTCAATGTGAATGAAATTCAACAATGCGAGCAGAATGCATTTCAAAACTGTTGTCCCCGTGCAAGTAAGCGCATCAATTCTAGGAGAGGGCTTGTCAGAACTATGGTCCTTGTCTGGATGCTTTTGAGAAGGTGAACTACCTCGAAGCAGGCGGGAACACATCGCTACTGGCTGCTGCAGTGCCATGGTGACGTTAGCGGTGTACCATGTGGGGCAAGAGGGTAGTTTTGATCTGGGCGCATAGGTGATTTGAGCTAGACTCTAAACGCCTAGTATCCCCCTTAATAAGCCCTATAATAATCCCATATGTAACCCCCTATATAACCCCGCATTAAGGAGTTTAGACTATGGCTCATTTGGGGTGCGGCAGTGCAGCAGCCTTTTTCTAAATCGGAGAGTATCAAATGCAGTATTTTGGTTCACGCTTGTTGCTATCCCAGGTGCACGGCACGTAGCTACCTCCATAGTCCTGCAACTGGTTGAATCGGACGAACACCGTATGTCAAAATAGAAAACTTGAACAAACGGATTGTGGTGACTTTGAGCCTCTGGGCTTCAACGCTCGTGTGTGAAATAGTCTGGGATGTTCCGTCCAGAGCACCACAGGAATGCAGCCAGCTGCCCATGATTTTCCTGGGACCTGCCTTTATGTGAATGATATTCATCCCCGTGCAGGGATATTCTTACATATCACACCGGCTCTGTCAGACCAGGCGAAGTCCAAGGCCTAAGGTTTGGGATGCAGGGTTTAGGTGTCCTTGCATGACCAAACCATGAAATCGAAAACATGAATCCTTAAGTCTTGCGGAGTTTCGGGCTGGAGTCTAACGCCCTGAGCCGCAAACCGGGCAAGCGCACATAAGTCCTAGAATGCTAGAGCCAGAGCCTGTGGCTTCCAGGTTCCCTCAACTCCTGACTCAAGCCCAGGTGTTCCAGCCCCAAACTTTAAGCCCAAGTGCTACAGTAACTAAAGCAAGCCTAAACCTGGAGCCCTCAACTCTAAGCCCTGATGCCCTACATCCTGTTCATTCCTTACGATTTAGGTAGCTATATCCAAATACGTCGGTGTATATATATATATATGTTTCTACTTTCTGTATATATCTCTTAGAAGCACAAAACAAGCCCCAAACATCCTATGTAAGCCTAAAATTGCAGCCTAGGTTTGGAAGTGCGCTTCGACTTCCTTGACCAAAGCCTTACAGACGCTGGGAGGAAGGTCTGTTTAGGGTTTAGTGTCCCTCCACTCACGGGGATAGCTGCTTCAGGGAGGGCTGAAGGTTGGAATTGGGGTTTAGGGCTTGGGGTTTCCCAGGTTTAGGGCTGGAGGTTTGGGGTCTAGGGCCTCTGTATCCGTACAAAAAGGATGTGCGGAGATTGCATAAGGCTTTCTCAGGAAAAGGCGGTATGCGTGAGAAGGTGAAAATTACAGATGTGTTCTGTATCTTATTGGGGGGTAGTACGGAACAGGGGAATATACCGTATAGGAATTATATTCCCTCAGTCGCCACTTAACCACAAGAGGAGGGTATTGCCTTTGCTGCGAACATAGCATCTCTGAGCTTCCAGCCCGTGAGGCGCTTGTTGCACAGCTTTTGCCACGCATATCCGGCGTAAACTCCGCAAGGTCATACATGGAGTTTGCTCTAGGTGCAGCCATGCAGCAACCACAACCGCGCGAACACAGAACCTTAAACCAACAACCCTGAACAGCAAATCCTGCTGTGTGATGCGCATGTTGACGCCCTTAATTCCAAACCGCAAGCCCCAACATGGGGGTTTCTCCACATTGGGGGTACCTTTATCCGGCTGCTCCCTATAAGAAGGGTTATAGCGTTTGGGGGTCGATGTTGTGGCCCCCCTGTTCATATTCATAGGCCCTATCATGATATAGTGGTAGTTTCCTTTGTCTTTTTCCAGTATTCCCTTATACACCTCCCATATCTATACCCCTAAACCCTAAACCCTTCTATTTACAAATATATATATATATGTATATGTATATAGATGTACATATATTGTGGTCGCCCTATTTATGGAAATTACCCCATTGAACCAAGATCTCTGACTGAGGATGGCTCCGCAGAAGACCCGCTTCGCAGGGCCTCACTCCCAGGTGGGGTTTAGGGTCTAAGGTTTAGGGTTCATAGGGTTAGTAGGGTGTAGGGTTTAGGGTTTATACCTTAATCCCTAAACCCCGAAACATGTAGTCAGTCTTCCAAGCTGAGGGGGGCCTCTCCATGAAGTCACAGCAAAGATGGGTCCACGGACAAAAGGTCCCAAGAAGCAATAGTCATGCCAGTTGAGGAAGGTTCAGGGCTTAGGGCTTAGGGCATTCAGATGCGGAGCTTTCTTGGAGGTTCCTCAAAAACTTCAAAGCTGGAGTGCCCCCTCCCAACAGGCCTGTACCTGCCCTGAATGCACCGCCATAAAGCCCTACAAGCAGGCAGATCACGATTGAGTAGTATTTCCCAAATTGGGGGACCCCAATGTAGACCCCAAATACCACAATCCTTATTATAAGGAACCCCCCAGGAAGGTACCCATAATTATGAGAAACCTCCACTTGGGATTTCATGAAATGGGGGCTCCCATGGACTTTACAAAGGAAACCCTGATGCCTAATCATAGAAACCTTAGGGTTTAGGGTTTAGGGCGGGTATTGGCTGAATGGAAAAGAAAATGGAAACTATTTAATTAAAATCTATTGGGATTAATAAAGCCGAATAGAAGAGCTTTAACCTTTCTGGGCTTCCTTTGTTGGTCTTTATAATAACGTTCGAACTTTGTTAGCCCTGGTTATTTGGGAAGGAAGTTAAGATTATCCCAGTTTCCATGTCATGTTCCATGCTCTTTTCCATCTGATTCCGCACTATTGTCGGCTATACCCCTAAACCCTCTATATCCCTATATACCCGATACAAGGCCCGTTTTCGAGCGGCCAGTTTAGCCTCTGAACCCGGGTCTCTAACACAACCCATAGGACTTCGATTTTGAAGATCTGAAGGACTGCAGCAGACATTTAGGACACGTGGACACCTACGCATGGGAAGCCCATGAGTTTTGGCAATTTGGTCACACCGCCCTGCCGAGCCTTCAACCGTTACCTTCATAGTCCTTGCATATCTTGGCATAGGGCTTCTAGGTACCCCGGTAGTACCGTTTTACCCCTTTTGTCTTGGTAGGAAAGAGGATACCTTTCTTATTATGGGGTTGCTGAGGAACCTAGGCATTACGCTTTCGCAAGACACAGTTTCGATGCATGCCTGCACCTGGGAAGGCTTTGGAGGCTTGCGTGGATCAGAACAACATCCCAGGCCGGGGTTTAGGGTTCACACTCAGTAGCTACTGTCAAACATTAGGGTGTGGGGTTTAGGGTTTGGGGTTCAGGCCTTGGTATAAGTTTACTCTAAGCAGGGCTCAGGATATAGCGCAGTGTATGATTGTCGGGAGTTCGTCCTCACCCCCATGGAATCTACAAAAGCAGCGAGATGCTTTACCTGGAGGGTCAGGAGATTTAGTAAGTGGGTTAATACCAGCGATAACTGGAAACGTTATATGGCTTATAGGGGTCATGCGCATAATTCCTAAGTCCCTCTGGCCCTCCAGGTAGAGCCAAAATTCCTTAAACCCTAAACCATAGTTCGCTTTCTCTAGAGTGTGAACCTGTGGATTGAAATCTCAAGTATTAATGATTCGGGTAATGGTGGATCAACTCTTTCCTCTTGCATGAAATTTCTCCCCCGCTGCATTTGCTATCTTCCTAAGGGCTGACCCCAGCAAGTGTATATACGGGATGTCTTTGTCACAGAATTTGCTCTAGGAAGCCACGAACCCACCAAAGCCCGTTCCCTACGTCGCGTTCCCGCATGACTTCCAGAAACCCTCTTTAACACCCGTAGATGTAGATGTGCATATGTGCACATGTGCATCTACACGTATAGGTACACATTTGTGTGCGTTTACATAGAAGCACTCCCTGTACAGCCCTTTCGTGGCGTGCCTGCAGGTTGCCAATGGAGTACATCCTTCCGCGAAGGGGTGACGACTGCGCGGTGGAAGCCAGGCTAATGAATTATACGCAAAGACCATGAATCCTAAACCTTTACACGTGGCCTAGGTATGGAAGTTAAAAGGATGCTCCTAGAAGTGCAGTAGCAACATATACCATAGCTGCTACTACTCCAGAGACGTAGCCACGCTTTACTTCCAATGCACCTCTTTACACGCCAATCAGTTGCGTATTGTCTAGGTTTTGATGAAAAAAGGAACCCCAACCCAAGTGAACACGAAGACATGTTCATTGCATGTTCATTGCCTTCTGGTCCTCATTGCCTCTCTCCTTCTAAGGAATGCGGAGGGGATCTGGTAACATCAACCTCCCAAGATAGGAGCATACATAGCTACCACCTCACTAGACTAGGGTCTTCAGTTCCGGGTTAGGGTTCCCAAAATCCTTTCGCTAAGGAAGATCGCTACCTTTCGGCACCCTTTAGCGCGCTTCGTCGCCTCGATCTATGAGCATTGGCCGCTGCCCAGCTGCCCCTTGTGCCGCACCGGGCTGGGCAAATTTTAGTTCTGCGATTCAGGGTTTAGGGCTTAGGGTTGTCCCTGCATGATGGATCCGTGATACTTGTTCCTATGACCCGTTCTCCAGCTAAGCGCCACAGAGCTTTGGGTTGAAGAGCTTGTGCACCTTCAACCAATGTGGGCCAATTACAGCGACCTCGCCCCAAAAGGCGGCTTATGTGGAACATAATTTGAGGTTCCATACTTTTATGTTCTGCAATTGGCGTAAACAAAGGGGGCGCCCAAGCCAGAGGGGCGAAAATACAATTGTGGTTAGCTAGCTCTTGGTCCCTTATGGAGGTGTGGAGGTGCGCTGGCGGGCTTTAGACAACCGTATAATCTTCCACTAGACAGAGGGGTGATTCACAGGGCTTTAAGTCTGGGAGTTCAAGGGTCTTTGACTCAAAAAACGTGAGTCCCCATAACGAGGCCAATATTATTCCGGGACATATAAGATGCCCCTCACGTTGGGAAATGCCCAAGACGTGGTGGCCGGGGTGTTTTCTGCGATCATGACAACACCCTTACTTTGCAACATGCTACCAACGTCAAACGGATCAACTGGACTGAAGGGCTGGAAGCCACCATGGCCAGCAGGAAGCCCCTTTCCCCTAATTGTTATTACAAATATACTCACTATTACGCTTATAACTTATTACTAGGACCATTACTTCTAGGAGGTCACAGGCACATAAAAGCCTGGTGGTTTCAGGTTGCTGAACGTGTTCTCGCCTGCGTTTCGGACAGATTCGAAAGGTGAAGGGAAGGCCTGGTTACCAACGCGGGAATGAGAAAGGAGCTCTTATGTTCAGCAATGTGCTTATCATCCTGCGAAAACTATAGCGACCTCACTTTAACTAGTCGTTTATGTAGTGTTCCCAAGTTAGCTTCATTCAAGTTCTGTTTTTTTTTCAAAATAGGCAACTCATCAAGCTTGGATGCAAGGCGATGGCGTTCCCTGTGACAGTGTTGTGCAGCAGGCTCTCGCCGGGGCATCCATTTCAGGATGTGTTTTGTTCATTTACTGCTGCTTCATGTTCAGAAGCCTTAAGTTTTGCAATGCTTATCACTACCATCTTCAGACTGTATTTGGCTGTCCGGTTTTAATCTTTGAGATCATTGTTAGTATTTTGACTGCTCATTCATGTTTTACAAATGTTGCTTGGGTTTACATGCAGTTGTAAGTATTGCCAGCACAGGGTAGCCCAGCATGAGCCCTAAATTCAGGCCTCAAGCCCTGGGTTGGGTGTTGCTGATGGTTGAGGCTTCTTGCTTCTTTGGTAACATTGATTCCTTTAAGTCCTTTTTGCACTGTAGTATAAACTTCTATTCAACACGTGTAGGCCCGTTCAGAATCTGTGTGTCTTTCTTGTTTACGAGGTGGCTTTGATGGCAATTGGTTCAAAGGTTCTGCATGGCAAGCACTCATCTGCCTGGATCAAACAGATGTCGCTGATTTTGGTAGCCTATGTTTTTTTTGGTAGTTTTGCGTCATTCTGAGGAACCATGTGCAAAAAGGACAGCTTAAAACAAGATTCAACCGACTTCAGTCTTTGGTTCCCCAAACGGCACGCTCGTGATACCCAACGCACAAAATTCCGGCGGGTTCTTGGGACAAGGATGCTGTTGCATTTGTCGCTCCAGGCGGTGCAGGTTGAGGTTTTGCGCATGCTACTGACAGATGCCTGTGCTCTACCGCCGCTAGTCCGCTTTGCAGAGCACCTACATACAAACCCAACGTCCGCTTTACGTGCAAAGGTTTTTGGCATGCTATGCGCAATGCCGTACCCTCATCTGATTTACTCCTGGACTCCGATGCGCACATCTTGAATCCTGATCCCATACTACTCCCCTATATAATCTCCTNNCTAAACCCTAAACACCCCTCCCCCCAAAAAACAAACTTTGAAGGATCAAGAAATCCTAAAGCCCCTCAGGCGAGGCAGCAGGCAGGAAGGCTGCTGAAGGATTTCCCTGGTCAGTGGAGGACCCCAGGATTTTGGGGCTTTAAGGGGTTAGGGTTGTGGTTTTGGGTCTAGGGTTTAGGGAAGCCCTCCGGCGCCCAAAGAAAAGTGGTCAGTCCTACTAAGAAGTGGAATAGTTAGCAACTCACTTGTCAATTGGGCGCTTATTTGAGAGAGCGAGCAATATCATCATGACGTCAGCTTGACGTACCCCATGCCATGAATAGATTGTACAAGCTGCCCATGACGGATCTACCTTTCGCTTCCATTTTATCCGTCTTCTACAGTACTTCCAGCCTGGACTTGCATGATGTTGGTCCCTGAAGTTCTTCAGCAATCTTTGGGCCAGGCCAATTGGGCGGTATGGGGTTGAAGGTTAAGCCAAGCTTCAACCTTTGCTCTTTCTTTTCGATTCTGTCCTAGGCCTATAGGGGCAGATTGTACAAAGTATGAGCGCCGAGTCTTCCTCGACACCTGGCATGCAGGGGCATCCAAAAAGGTTTAAACTTGGGGAGCCAGCGGGTGAAGGAGCTGCGAGCACGCCACGCAGAGCTACTTCCTCTCGGCCACGGATCGGCGCCTTGCCTGCGCAAGCTGTGGTGGCTAGCTTATAACACAGCTGCGGACTCAAAAGCAACCCAAAGCCAAGATGCCTGGGTAACGGAGGGGCAGGCCAGGATGTATTTTGGCTTCTTCGATTTGTCCTATGAACAGCTAATCTGCATTTTTTTGGAATGAGATTAGTTAGCTGCTCTCAACCCAAAGCAGCCTCCAGCCTACCCCAACCTTTTGAAAGGGTTGGAGTAACCGAAATCCTGAAACCCGGAACCCAAAACCTTGTACATATATATATATATATCCTTTCTATAGAACCAGGTTATAACCCCGCTAAACTGTCACCCAAGACGAGGTCCGGCAGACCCATTGCTTGGGACTTCCTGGTTGAGGTGGACAATTTCGGCCGAGACTTGCAGGTCGGGAAGCCCAATACACGGTGTAGGGTTCAGGGGGGTTTGGGTGGAGGCTTTGGGATCAATGGGGTTTAGAGTTATAATTGGGTTCAGGGTTCAGCGTTAGCGATTAGGGATTACAAGATATTACAGGGTTTAGGGTGCAGGAGTGCAAACATGTCTTTTTCCACATGCCGTCATGGAGCCTTACAAGACACTTGGATTAGGAAGTATACTGGGGTCTCGCCCCCTTTGCTGGGGCAAGAAGTCCCGACTATGGCCGGGTCAGGGAGTACTCTATCCCCATTCAGCCCCCAGTATTGGGGTGTCCATGAAAAGGCGATTCCACTGTGAACACCAAATGTATTCCACTTATTATTTCCGACGCCCCGCTCAAGCCTCAGAACTCAGTTTTTTTCAGACTTGCATGCTTGAAGTTGGGGCTCCAAGTGGGGCAAAGACTCGCAGTGGGGATGGGTAATCATGTATACGAGATGAAGGAGTCGGGCTACGGTAGAGCTATTGTTAGTTGTAGTATATTTTACCTGTGCTGCTACTGATGTTGCCAACCCCACTATTGTAAGTCTGGCTTGCTGCCCTAGCAAAACAACCAGCCTCAGACTCAACGGGGGCGCCCCTGTGAAAGGAGCTGAGCAAGCTCACCAACATCGACCTGCAGGAGCGGCTGAACTCAAGCCTCCTGTTTGGGGTGTGCTCCCAGTTGACTTGCCACTTGGGTGGGGTGTCGCGCGGTAGGGTTTGGTGCAAAGTTAGGAGCTTAGCCCTTGAGTCAGATGCGCTCAATTGCCGGTTTTGTGGACTTCGTGATGAGTCGCGGAGAGAGCATTGAACATGGGCGCAAGGTTGACTGGTGTTTTCGGGATTTGGGGTGTAGCCCCCTGGTTGCTGTCACTCCTTTCCTTTCTCCCCGTTCGTGTTAAAAAGGTAGTTTCACTTGCCTGTGGCCCCGCGAATCAGACAGCTCTTTGACTACCAGGTCCATAGGTGCGCGTGGTGCAAGGGGAAGTATTAGATCACCAACTCATCCCCGATGCCTTCCAATCCTCCCTAATACCAGCCAGCTTCAATTGGCTGCATGGCTGCATAATCAACATCCCGACCTGGACCACCAGTAGCCCAGATCCTGCATACCCTTGACCTTGAAATCCGACCGCAATCCAAAATCTGCACCCAAAACCATCAACCTGCGACCTTCATCCCTGAAGTAGCTCTAAAATTATATGACAGAAAACTCAAAAGCCTTCGTGACCGCAGGAGATGGAGGAGAACTCCAGCGGTGACAGCGAGCTGAAACAGCTGCACCAGTGCCGACATAACGCCTTGCTGAGGAACAGTTGGTTTTCAAGGCTTGGGTTTTTGGATGCACTGTACTGGTATCGCACCAGGGTCTAAAAGGTTTAAGAACCTCGTTCACAGCAACACTCCAGGGATGTTACTCTGAATATGACGCCCGCTTTTGGCTGCAAGGGGCGCACCCGTCCTGACAACCTGCCTACTTTTCTCCCTTCTCAGTGCAGCCAAGGTACTACGATGCCATTTTCGCCGACAATAAGACCATTTGCTCGGTCTGCAAGGCCCATTGGTCAGCCCCCTCGTTCCACTTTATATTGTCCTTTTTCCGTGCCCTTGAAAGTAGTTCCCCTATTCTGTCCTAGACTGGAGCTTTGAACAGAAAGTATTTTTCGCAAAGTGCAAAGGGCTCAAACCTTCGAAGCAGCATCTGATAGAGACAATACATGTGAGACAAGGTGGGCAGCGTAGTTCGGCTTCCGTTTTGCTCACTTACAGGTGCTGGAGTGGCTTCCAGAAGCGTAGCATATGATCAGTTTAAGTTAGCGCTGAAGGTTTGAAACTGGATGAGAAAGTAGGTTGCAGCTGCTTTAGGATGCGCGTGGTGCTCAAATCACGCAACTTGCGCCCGAGTGGAGGTGGACCGGTCGGAAAGCGCGTGTAGGGAAACCTGGAATCTGACCATAGCGCTGGGCTCGAGCTTGGGCGGGTAGATACCGCGGTCCAGCACGTAGCTGATTGTTGGCACTTACTTGTGCTTCTGGCTTGTGGCCCTCTGACCTGAAAACAAAGACCGCCGCGACCAAAGCGCAGACCTAGCCTTTTGCAGGTGTCCGCATTATCAAGGGCAGTTATCGTAACCTACAATCTCAGTGTTAGGTCAACTCCCTGTGCGGAAATCTCCATCAACTATCACATATTCCATTTTTTCGAAGTTTTCCCCGGTGTGCCATCAGTCGTGGTCCACTACGTACGCAGAGCCTTTCTTGAGGTTTACGCGCAGGATTTCACTTGCCTTGGATACGACTTCCCTCGGCGGTGCACGAATGCGATCTGCAACTTGTCGAGCCAAAGCAGAAGATTGCAGAGTAACTCTTAGCATCCAAATAGCTCCAGTATTTATAGACTTTAGGGCCCAATGTAGGCTGTAGACTTCTGTGTTCCATGTAGGTTGCATTTATAGACTTTGGAGGCATTAGTTGTATGCTTGGATCCCTAGACTAGTCTTTTCTCACAGGAGACGGGTCCGAGGATAGCTTCTCAGATAGAAAGGGTGGATGTTTTTATGGTTTTGTAAAGTGTAAACAAGATTGCTTGGGAATAATTGGTGAGTGTACATATTATATAGCTGTTGGCTGAACTTGGGCGTCAACAATTGGATTCTGCCGTACAGAATGCTTAGCATGTTGGATCTGTGTCGAGTCGGTGCGATACATTTTGCGCGCTTGCCAACAGCCAAGGCAACTCTTTTGGCATCTACTTTCCATGATGGCGCACTGAGGGCGAATGCCCAGGGTCTTGGGTTGAAGGCCCCAACCCCAATGATGGATAATCAAATCATGGTAAAATAGTTTCCATTTTCTTTTCCATTATCCCAGTATAACCCCAATATAGATTGAACCCTTGCACGCTTCCAAGACCGTTTGCCAGAGCCTTCAACCCTAGCTGCCCTTGAGATGGTGACGGAGGCAAAGAGCAAAAGAGTTAGAAACCATTTCAGCGATCTAATCTCCTTAAAGGGGGTCATATAATAGGGGAGTATTATGGGCCGATCAAGGGGGATACTAGGAGTTTAGACTATTCTTCATTTGAGAGTTCATACATGGCAGTTTCGTGGTCCAAGGGGTAGCGGTCTAGTGTTTATAGGGAGTTTCCAAACACTGCGGGTTCCCCTTCTAAATCCACAACCAATAATCCTTATTCCAGGGTCTCCCAAAACCGGACCCCCCCCAAATCTCTGGAAATTGCTCATATGGCCTGAGGGCGCAGGTTGAAAGTTAAAGGATGCAGGGTGGTTTGGGGTTCCATGGAGTGTTAGGGGTTTGGGGTTTTGGGATTTGTAGGGGAAGTGCGGAAGATGTATTGAGCAGATGGGCATTTGCTGAAAGAAATTCCCTGCCGTTGTGAGCCTGCATCAAGACGATTCTGAATTATGACGGTTCCAGGGCTTGGGCATGCTTTAGCACGCGCTCACCAAAATCCTGGTATTACTCTTCATTGGGTACATATTATGGCCTCTAATAATGGCTACTTAAGCCGTCATAGAGGGTAGATGGAGGGTCTAGCATACAGTCAAGAGCGGCAAAAATTAAAGTTAAAGCCCAGGAATAGACAAGATTATTCCTTAGCGTAGCCTGGTTCCATTTGGGACCCACTATCCCTTGTGAAATCACACGGTGTCAACAAGGACATCCTGTTCCCCTGCAGACCTAGAGTATTGCCACTGTCTGCAGTTGAGGGCCGCGTGGCTTGAAGGTTGACCGATGCTTCTCAAAATCACGGGTTTTGAGGAGAAGTCCGATGTATCTGCCCTGGTTTGATCATTTTAGGGGTCATATCGGGGATATATTGGGATAATGGAAAGGAGAATGGAAACTACCATGTCGGGTTTATCGACTTGTTACTTCTGTCACATTTGCTCTCCCGTTGTGTGATGCAATAGCAAGGACAGGGTAATGCCTTGCTGCCCTGCTGGTGAGGTGTAAAACGCATAGGAGTAGAGCGATGCAAACCCACCAGTTGGTGCTTCTTGCACCATTATGCCCTCTCATCTGATAGGTCTTTTGCAGACATGGTGTTCTTTGTCTGTCCTTTGGCTTTGGAACGTGTGTCCATTTCAAAAGGCTCCCCAGGAACCGCAAATGAGTAGGGGTAGAGTGCTTACTACAAAGGCAACACGGATCGCAACCAACAAGCATCTGGCGACTCCCACGATGTACATTTTCTCTGGGAGGGTGGGCTTGGGTAGATTCTCAAGGGTCCGTAAACAGACAAGATCCTCTAAGGACGCCTGACTTCCCTTTAAATATGTTGGACGTAGGGCCCCAGTCTCGTTTGGAAGGGTCCCCGTTAACATTAATATATGGACTTCCATATATTCCAGACACGAAAGAGAGTGGTTGCAGGACGGCAACTGGCGCTGCGAGAGCTGCGGCAACTTGGCAGATGCTGGCTTTTGCTACCAGTCAAGGTTGACGTGGCGAGGGCGCCATGAGAATTCTACAAAAGATGGCTGAGATCAGTTGGTTGCATACAAAAGTGTCTCACTCTCTGTCCATAATTAGGCTGCCTCATGGGTCTGCATGCTGCGTCATTTTCACTTCTACTTTGTTCTTGCGCACGACTTCGACCAAGCCTACTATTACAAGCGCATGTCCCAGGGCAAAATGAATCTGCAGTGCTCCAGACTCCTTCCTTCCTTCATTTTGACAGGTCATGAAATCCGATAAAAGCGCAGTTTTTGAAAGCTATCGACCCAAGCAGGCCCAAGCCTGTAGATCCTCAGACCGTTTGCCCAAAGGCAACATCAACTTCCCCCGGCGGCAGCGCTGCAACAAATGTCTGCGCCACAGATTGTGGCCGTTTCAGCTGCCTATTGTGCAGAGTTACGTAGATGCCTAGTTATGTTCCTGAGGCTAGTAGTAAGTTCCCTTCAAAGTCTGTAGCATTCCATACAGCTTCTTCTACGATTTCTACACATACACACGAAGAAGTTCTCCTTTCCTTAGAGGTTCATGGGGAGCTAAAAGTAGATGATAGGTGCCCCCCCCCCCCCCCCCCACATGCGTACAGCTACCCTGCCTGAACCACCCCTTCTGACTATCCATGATGTTTCAAGTGCTCAACCTATTTCTATGAGCAGAGAACAAGCCGCTCTCGTTGGCACAAGCAAGCCCTGAGCTCACTAGCCGATCTCCCTGGTAGCGCTCCAGAAGTCAAGAAAGAAACGCTTCCCCCTAATCCTCCACTGAGCATCAGCAAATTTCCCCTTGTGAGTTCTACTGCGCTCGTTACACTGAGGGCTCACACTGGGGGACAATCTACGTGCACCTTTAATTGTTAGGAGGCCGGGGCTTTAACCTGAGTATGGCTACTTGCGAACCTCCGAGTGCCATGTGAGGTCAGTGCCTGCGTGGCGCTTCAGGCGACGCGGCCGTGCAGCAGTACGCCCACCGGGTCTACGATGCTGTGCTGAAGTTGTTTATTTGACGTGGGCATGGCCCTTTGTTGCTATATTCCTCGAGCTGTGGGGAGGGGTCCTTGTATAACCCTGAATTTCTTCTCGGTGTTGCTCAGCTGCTCCTCAAGCTATCCTTTTTTGCGGGCTATTGCCCAGAAAGGCTGCGCCCCTATTTCAAGGCTCCTGGTATTGATTGGGATGCATGGAGTGATCAAAATGAAAGTGGGGGTATGCTTGGGCTGGCGGGCCTTGCAGGGTCCCAAAGTGCTGAATGTTAGCATCAGGGTTCCCCAATGATTCTGATGCTCGAGAGGTTCGCACTGTGAGTTTTGAGATGTGTTATTGTCGAGCATGTTCTTTTGAAGCTCAGGGTGTGTGAGCTTAGGTCCGAGGATCTATGCAATAGCTGTTGATTGAAGTCTCAGTCACTCTTCAGAATTCGATCATTTTGCAGGAGCGTGCCCCTCTTGAAACTGCAGCTCTTTAGCAAGTTTTGCTTCGGCAGCAAGTGTGTGTGCAGCCCATGCTCCTGCCGAGGAGATGCTGCTTAAGGGCACGGTCCCCAGCACATTATGTGGATTTCAAAAAAGTTCGGGGTCATTTTTTGGGACTGCCCACGACAAGGGTTATACTGATTCTGGTATCTTGGGGTTTGTGTGGGAGACCTTCGTTTGAGAAATTGGGAAAGCGCATTCTTCAATAGCTTTGCCGTTGCCATGGTGAACACTTGTGTGGTGGGAAATATTCAAGCACAGACACCACAAAATCTGAATTGCTATTCAGCAATGCAGTGTTTTCCCATCATCACTCGTGCAGGCCTGGAAATGAGATGCAATTTGTACCTTCAGGTATTGCCCTTCCTAGCTTTATCATTGAAGCCAACGCTGCATCTTCGCGGGCGCGCACAAGCTTCGCAAAGGATGATCATGGTCGCTGGCTAGGATGAGCTGTTTACCTTCCTTCACTGGTTCCCCTTTTCTGCTCACACCCCCCATGTAGCAACAAACTATTTTTGGCAGATTCCAAGAGCTTGGTAATTCTTTGTGACCGCTGCTTCCTCCCTGAGACCTGAACGTGCTGGCTGAGAAGGCGCAGTAGCCCCAACCCCAAACAGTTGAATGGCACAAAATAATTACATGAAGCTGCGGCAGTCCCATTGCCAAGGTCGTTCTTTCGGTTGATCAAAGGGCCGAGAAGATGTTTCACCAGTCCGTGCCTCCTCTGCCATTCCATCTCAGCTTTGGACAAAACTCCTGCAAAGAAGAGTGGAATCCACATGCAAGGAAGTCCTATGCTATCCATGGGTATACATTGATTGCACGTGTGTTCAAACGAAGGATTTTAGCCTACAGTTGGTTTAGCTCGGAGCAGCCGGAGCCGTCACGTTGGGGTAGCTTCCAGTTTGCGTGTCTCTCCCCAGCTTAGGCTTTGGGTATCTCCAGCATTTCCAAGCAGTAGCGGGCGCCAAACATATAGATTCATATCCTGGTCCGGAAAGGGTTTTGGGGGCACCCCTACAATGGCTACACCGGGGATTATATAAGGGGCTACTACTACAGTAAACCCAACTAACCTGAACTCTGAATCCCCAACCCAATCAACTGGTGTCACCTGTCGGTTGCAAAGTCACAAAGCCCGGGGACTCGCGTAATGTAGGGTTATGAATTAGTTGAATAATAGGAGTTGGAGCACATAGGCCTTGACTTCAGATTTTGGGGCTGCGTAAACAGAACCACCCCTTTACCAACATTACCAAACTCATGCTGCGCGCGGCGGAAAGGGTGGGGCCGAGAGTTTGGTTTAGGAGTCAATGCCAGGCCTTTCAACGCAGGATCCGGATTTATGTGGACAGTTCAAGCAATGCCTCCAAAGTCATGACTTAACATCTGACTGTGGAAGTTGTATGCAGGGCGCAGAAACGATGAATAGCATGACAAGGCTGGCTGGGATCCCTGAGCTATGCCAAACCTGATACACCAGCAGGGTGCCAACTTGTCGGTGGCTGTTGCTGGCCTTCGGACAGCTGTTTGCAGTTGAAGATTTCACTAGGGCTCGCATATCAGAAGTGTGGCATGTCAAAGCAACAGATCGCTTGACAAGAGTGTGCCTCCAATCAGGCCTCCCAGGAGGTACATCTCTAAACACGGACAAAATGCAATGCTCTTTGAGGTCGTTCAGTCTCCCTGCATATTGCCTGCGCGCTTCCGTAGGTCCCAAAGCCGCTTCTCAAGTCCAACGCTGGATACCGCGACTACTTGCTTGCGTGTGATCGCCCGTTCACCTATGGTCCTAGGATAACTTAGAGATTTTTGTGGGAAAAACCTCGCCATAAACTCCTATGTGCTTCCTGTATGTTGGGCACTGAGCTTTGCAGCTGCTCGAAAGGGTAGGTAGTATATGGAGCGTAAAACAAGATTATTGGGGACGGGAAGTGTTTGGAGAGCCTCGCTCTGAACCCTACCTACTTCTTTCTATCCTGCAGAAAATGGCACTTCCCTGAACGTTTTATAGTACGCGTCCCTGCAGCGGGGTTCGTGTCAACATGTGTATGTTTATCCAGATTAAACATATATCCATATATACATATGTATATTTACCTCCAGTTCTTGGGAACAGTAATTCAGGCCAAGTCCCATGTAAGCCTGCCTGATCTTGTTTGGACCTCGCAGCCCTTTGAAACGGATGGCCTCTGCTCGCTGTCGGGGCCACCGCCGTAGCATTCGGCTGAAACCTGCTAAGACAGGTGGAGGGGGATTGGGCTCTGAGGGAGGTTTTGTGGGGCCTGGGGTGTAGAGGATCCAGGGCGATTGGGGCTTAGGGTGTCAAGCAGGATAGTTAATCAGGTTTCAGGTACAGAGTTTTGCTTTTTTGGGGTTAAGGTTTCTATCGTTTAGGTCATTGGGTGTGTGGGCTTCAGTCGGCAGCTATTTCTGCTTTTTGTTCATCAATTCGCGCATGCTGCAAGATGCAGTTGAGGGAAGAGTCCAAACCCTGCGCGATTTGCCACTTGTCAACTGTGCTTTGCAACCTTAATCCTTTCAGGGGACTTAGGCAGCGAAGCAAAGGTTTGGGGACCTAAGGCAGGGCGTGGGCTGCATGAGCGAATACTTCGGAGACTGGGCTGGCTGCAAAACACAATAGATTCCAACAAGCAATACGTGGAGTGGCCACAAACTAGCTTGAAGCAGCGTGTGTTGTTCACAGCATGCTTTGGTCATGTGTTTTGGGGACCTTGTGGTTGAGATGGTCAATGCCCACGGGCCTTTGCTTACAGACTACAGCGGCCAGCCAAAACCCGCAAAACTTGTGCCTAAAATCCCTTGAGGTGATGAGCTCGGAGCCTGCTCCCTTAGAACAAAAGCTTGTGTGATGAACTGCACGAAGGCGTGGCTATACGATGGGCAACCCACAGATCATCAAGTTAAGCTCGGAGAAATGTTGCGCCTGAGCGTCGTGCCATAGGTCGCCCAATCTTCACGGAATGCTCACAGCCCTAAATCGAGTGGTTTGCTCACCTCTGAAACCAGGATCCTGTGATATCTGCATGGGCTTAATGTTTTGGTTCAGGGTCACCAACCGGGAGCCAAGTCAAGTTCTTACACAGCTTTTGCTTTGCTGTAAGCAGTAGGAACGCAAAGTACCTATCCATCACAAAGCTGCTACCCTCAACCACCCATGCTTTTGTTTAGCACGCCTTCACAGGCATGTTCCGGTTGCAGCGCTGCCAGAAGCAGGTAGCAGTGCCGCTGCCAGGATCCCAATACTTGAGTCTGAGGTTGTCTCGCAAGGAGTCCATGGACACATTTACAGCGTACAGCACAGAGATATCAAAGTGCGTGATTAACAGGTTGCAGCCCTTGAGATACAGAAGGAGAGTGTTGTTTTGTGTTGAGACCGGCTCGGGAATGTGACTGTAGGAGCGTTAAACTGAGGAAGCATGGTGTGGCAGGATTGAGGATGGGGAAGCTCTTGGTTAAGCTGATTGTAGGTGTCGGCTTCGGGGTTTGGTATCCGGGCCTTTTCGACTGGCCAAATGTTCGGACTCGTGGAGCGCGCGCTCTGAGATGACAGCACTTATACATTGTCTCTTAACATGGTTTGGCAACTACACAAGCAGGCAACCTGTTGCAGCTTTCAGGCCTCAAAGTCAGCCTGTCTTCCATTGGACAATAGTGAATGAAATTGCGCGCAATGGATTGCTGTCTGTGAAGCTGAAGCAAGTGCAAGCTATGCCGCCTTTGAGACAGCTTCAAGTAACGCGAAAGGCCGGCAGTCTCAGTGCACCGTCTCAAGGCTTCAGCTTATGCTTTGTTGTGGTTTCTAGAAGGCTCCATCCTGGCCAATTAGGCTTGAAGTTGCTGGACGCAGACGTGTAGCTGTACCGGTGCTGTTGTTGTGCAGCTGCAGCAGCTTCTGCCAACCCGTTAGTGAAAACCATATTCGAACATGCCGATCACATGCGCAGGTTTGTCGATTCAGGTGGCGGCTCATCCTGTGGTCCGTGGCGGCGGCAATATGTTTTCATGGCTGCGGCAGCCAGCAGAACTGGACAGCTGCCACACAGGTACGAGGCTATTCACGTGGGTCAAGGACATGCTTGGGCTGGCATAATGATGAGCTCTTGGAGACACTTACATGGATGCAGGGCGTGCGAGAATTGTTGCCATCAATGGAAGATGACGTGCAAGCCTAGGCTTATGTCACCAAGCCTGAGCCATGAGCTGAGCCCTCATTGAACAGCCCTTCAGGACACGCGGAGCTGTCGCTTCCTCGGCAACCGTCACGCGGGTGACGGGGGCAGAGCACGATTTGAGACGCGCGGCAAGCTTTCCAGACCTGTTGCTATGTCATTCGGTGTTTGGATTTGGGGGTGAAGTTTTCCACGTCTAGCCTTTGGACTGAAAGTTGGAATACTGCAGCATGCCAGAAGCCGCCACACAGCACTCATCGCGGACTGTGCTTATAGTAAGAAGGCCTAGCAGGGCTTCGGCTTGTTCAAAGCTTCGGCAGCTGAGTCACGAATCGCAAGGACGGGACGATGCCTACATGGTGCGCATACGCACTTTGGCCCAAGAGGCCCTGAGTTGGACTTTCCTGGAGGCCAACCAGCGCCTGATGTGGGCTTCGGTGCTGGAATTCGATGCTGTGCCCATCCAGGAGAAGGGATATGTAACCCCTGGCGGGTGTAGAGCATGTGAGGCGCTAGCTGCTTGGCGTGCCAGGGTTGCACTCATTCCAGTAACCGTGGTGTACATGCCAGCCATTAGTTGTAATCGTCTACTTGACCAACTCTTCCAGGTTGTTCCGGTCCAGTGCTGATGCACCCATTTGCATGCGGCATTCGGTTTAGCAGCTGCGTGTCATGCCGGCAGGAGTTGCCACCATGGTTTCTGGAGCGGCAGAATCTCACCCGCAGGGACATGGGCCCGGCACCAAGCTTGATAGCTGCCAACAGTGCGCAGCTTGGTTTTTGCTAAGCCCCGTCCGCCTAGGTGTTGACCTGCTTAGCCTCGACGGAAGGAAGGCAATCCTGTGCCTGACTGGAAAAGATGAAGCGGCGTCTCATGTAGCGATCAAGCGCTTTATCCGGACGGCCGGCTTTGTTTGCAAGGCCAGGGCGTAGTAGATTTTAGTCTAGGTTTCAGTCACGTGCCATCACAGATCAACATTCATGAAGCCGGGTCTTGGTTTCCTTGGTGTATCTTCTTGCTGCAAGACCTCCTGCATGAGCGACTGGAGATCGACTAGAGTGACTCGAGTTGGTGTGAGGGCTAGCATCACTGAGCCGGTGCTCTACAATGCTTGAGGCCTGAGGGTCGCAGTGCTACTGCACAGGCATGAGCAGAGCAAGGGGAATCCCACACATATATATGTAAAACATATATGTACATATAGAATATACATGTGTACAAATATTTATATATGTATATCTACAGAAAATATGTGTATACACAGATATATATATATATATATAGGCCACACCTTTGGTTGCTCTTCCCAGCGGCATTTTGAATTTCAGGCGGATGAGTACCTATTGGTTACTGCGGGCAGCTGCAAGCTAGGCAAAGTTTCCAGACGGTGGCTTCAACAGCACAGTGCCCAGCTCAAAACTCTGAGCCCGCAGAACAAGTTTCAACCTGGCAACGCGCTCACAGCCAGCAGCGTTTTGGAAGCAGATCGAATGGCTGATCCCTCGCTGCGGCCCTGCCAGCAGGCATGCCTGGATGCCTGTGCTAGAGGGGCACGGGTGATAGAGATGGCATGTGGCACGGGGAAAACACGTGTCATGCGTGAGCTCGCGAAGAACTTCTCTGGGAAGGTGCATGTGATGTAGCGTGTTGTAGCAGTTTCTGTGTTGTTACGATGCTTTGTTGGTCACGGTTGCTGTTTTGCTTCGTGCTTTGAGGTTCTGATTACTGTCCCTTCCCGCCTGTTGCTGGAACAGTTTGGCCAAGAATTCCCAGAGTTTTGCAAAGTTGGAACGGGCTTCAACAAGCACATTGACTTCGGTGCAAGGGGGTTCCTCGCTGTCACGGATTCAGTGCATCGACTACGGCACCTGAACTTTCGACACATCTTTTCTGACGAAGCACATCACCCCATCCCAGCGGGCTTACCCAATGGGACGGACCTTTTCAAGTTCTCTGCCACGCATACAGACGAAGTAGATTTCAGGTATTCCATGGGGGAAGCAATTGAAGATGGCGTGCTCAGCGACTACGACCTCACAGTGCCAGTAACCACAAAAGGGCATCCGTACCGCTGTTTGGCAAGTTTGCTCTTGTCGCAGGCTGGGCGTTTCCGCAGAGTGCTAGCCTACTGCAATTCCATACAGCAGTCCAAGCGGTTCCAGCAGGTGCTGCTCTCACAGGGAATAGCTGCCTGGCAAATGGATGGAAGAACGAGGCTCCCCGAGCGGGAAGAAGTAATGGCAGCCTTCCTTGGACCTATGCAGAAGGTAGTTCATGTTTTGGTGACTGTGCAGGTCCTGGGAGAAGGTGTAAACATTCCCAATGCAGACACATGTCTGTTCGTTGAGCCGAGAAGCAGCTACACCAGCATTATTCAAGCTGTCGGACGAGTGCTTCGTAACCACGGAGCCAAGCCCCTGGCTCACGTTGTACTTCCAGCAGTTGCAGCTGGCGCAGCTGAAGGTGAGAGATCCGGCACAGAGGCTCCACCAGACTGTGGGCAAGGAAGCTGCAAGAGCCCCGGTGCTTCCAAAGTGATTTCTCACACACCCACGGTAGGTGCGGACAAAGGCAGGGCTGACGGCAAAACTGGCAGACAAGCTTACAGGTACGCCGCGTTGCAGCGCCAAGCTGATTCCGAGCAGCAGCTCAGACGGCGGCCGAATACGGTGCACAAGAATGAAGTGAGCACAAAGGCACCCAAAAAACAAGTCAGCCTGACCAACACATCTCGTTACACAGCCAAGCCGGTTGAACATGAAGTAGAACTCAGTGCCATATCCGCAGTACCAGGCACCGCCCCCAGCACAGAGCGTTTCGTCTCGGAAGCACAGCTGGAGCGCTTTATGGCTGCGCTTGCTGAAGCTGACAACAGGCTGCAGACGCAGCCCGTGAGCAGCCGGGTCTGTGTCATTGATTCCAGGCTCGGCGATTCCAAGAGGCTACCGTTTCGTTCACAGGTAAGAACGGTGTTTCGCAGAATGTCGCAAGCCATAGCACGTCCATACTCCTGGCAAGAACGATTCGAAGCTTTGGAGACTTTTGCAGCAGAGAATGGCCGTCTACCTCTTGTCAGAGCAGTTGACAAGCGGGAGTCTTCCTTGGCAAAGTGGCTAGCTAACGTTGGACTAAAGCTGAATATGGGCAAATTGGCGGCTGAACGTACTGACATGCTACTGCACTCTGCTTCCGACTTGGTTCGCTCACGCGTTCAAACATGGTTGGACCAGGACTTGAACTTTAAACAAAAGTGTGAACATCTGCAGAGGTTCATAAGGGCAAATGGAGCCATTCCTACAAAGAGGCAAGTGCGGAACAAAGATTCTGAAGAATACCGCCTAGCAATGTGGCTTGCGAAGCTCAGGGCTGGCACAATGCACATGAGTCCTCAGAGGTTCCAGATTCTAACATGTGCTCATCCGCTCCTTGCAGACCTGGTCTCGCGATGGGACCGCAACAAAATTGCTCTTCGCCTGGACCTCTGGATGAAGCGAGCACAGGTGTTGAAAAAAATGGTGTCGCTCACTGGAAGGCTTCCCAGCCAGACGATACCTGAGGAAAGGAAATCATATCTGTGGATGGTGGTTCAGAAGCACCGCTTTCGCTTCCTGCCAGACAGTGCCCAAGCTGAGTTGCTTACATCCCCTATAGTGGCGGCTTTCCTTCGGCAAGGATGAGCACTTCGTAAAGAAGCAGAGTCTTGATTGACCTGTGCTTAGAAGTTGCCTGCACGGCTGGGACCATGCAAGGCGCAGGATTGCTGCCAACTTATTGTTCTTGTTGAGCCAAGCGCCAGCGGCTTTACTTTTTTAGGCGTCAGACCCATGCTGGACAAAAATGTTGCCACACATGTTCTTTCCATGACCGCATGGAAAATGCCACGAGGGTGTTGGCAGCTCTTCTGCCACGCTTGCGTCCATCATGAAACCAAATAAAAACAGCGAAGAGTACTAACATTCAAGCAGGCTAGCAGTTCGAGGCTTGTTGAAAGAGTTGGTGGAGGTATGACAGGTGCTGAGAAGTTCCCAAACGAAACAGCGGCTGTCCCGTTGCCAAGGTCATTCTTTCGGCTGATGCGAGGCGGAGAGAATGTTTCACCGGTCCATGTCAATCCTTCGATTTTCCATATTAGCTGTAGACCAACTCCCTGCAAAGGAAAGTAAAAAAATAAGAAGCCCTGTATCAATACCGCACATTTCCAGACGAAGGACTTTGGACCGCAGCCGTCACGTTGGGGTAGCTTCCAGCAATGCTCCTCGGAGTTGGGGTAGACTTATCATTTGGCTTACGCTTCCTGGCTCAGGGATCTCCATTCGTTCCCAAGCAGTAGGGATTATAAAGCAGGTGAACGCCCAACATATGGTGATTCCTTGTATGTCACAATCCCCAAAAAGTTTTCAATAGTTGAAACCTACCACGTTTCTCCTGCTGGGTTTATTCAGATTGCTGCTTTGGGGCTGTTATTGGCTGGCTCTAGAGTTGAAGATGGCTCATTGGGTGTTTCAAGTCATTTTACTTCCTGATGCTGAGTTACAAGTGTGGGAATTGCTTGTGTAGCTTGTGCAGGTGGCCGTCGTGCAGGGTTTGATAGGGGATACTGTTCCAACCAACCTTCAACTTAAACTCTAAATCCCCAATCCTAGACCCTAGAGACCCTGCCTAAGTATGACTAGCTACAAGCACGTTTCAGGCCTTGCAGGAGGTGTTGCCTGAGGGCTTGAGCATTGCAAACGCATAAAGCGCTGGAAGGCCAGGTGCTCACATAATGTAGGGGCTTACATATTAATACTTTGAATAGGGTACATTATACCACAACTACTGTGCTACTGTTCCCTAGTCCTAGTTTAAGGCTATCTTAGCTATAGCCTAGAAACCTTCGAGGTAGGCATGGCACCCGCACTTCTCCGGATGACCCCTTCAGTGTACTGCGGGTCCAGCCAAAGAATTTTTATCAACGAGTTTCGTTGTGGATTTGAAGCTCTGACTTTGGGCGTTGAATGGGGAGGTCTTTGTAAACAGGATTCCTATTGGCAGCTGACATTGCCAAACTCATGCGCTTGCGGGGCAAAACGACAGAGGTCGGGAGTTTGGCTGAAGAGTCCAGGCCAGATAAAATTTGACAGTCATCCGTTGAGATTTGACCATGAAAGTTGGGTTCAGGGCCCACAAGCAAAGCACAGCATGTTCCAACTATTTCCACTTCACGGTTTCCTGGCATCCGCCCTCTGGAGGGCGCCAACTTCAGGGTGGCTTTCTCGCTTTTCGACAGTTACTGGCAGCTGTTGAAGCGCTATGTGTACGGTGAGACCTTCATTTGGATCTATGTACACTTGCAACACAATGCTCATTGATATCCTGTACAATGGCTGCATACCGCCTACATGCTTCCTGAAGTTCCTCATATTGATGCATCCTTGCGATACGACCCCTCTTAACTCAGACATACATACATACATACATACTTCACAACCTCAGACATGGTCTGCGCTTGCCCCTACATGCTTCGTATATGATCTGTGTATACCTTCACCACCCACATGCCATGTGGAACCCCCACAGCCTTCCACAAGCTCCTTAGGCTTACCTAGGAATGGCTCTGAGCTTTGCTTGTATACCCTGGCTTCCTTTTTGACCCCCTTTGTAATCCCGCAGAAAGTTTGAAAGGGATAGGTCTCCTCTGCTCGCCGTCGGGGGGCCCCCGGCGCGGCATTTGGAGGGACCAGGCCAGGAGCTGAAAGCTGCAAAGACAGGATGAAGGATTCTCAAGGGTCTTAGAGGGTTTTCAGTGGTACAGGAAGTGCAGTTTGGGGGCAAAAGGGTTTGGGGGGTCTAGCGTTTCGACGATTGAGGGTTTTGCGTCTGTAGGGCCGTGCAACTTTCGGGCTTTAAGGGCTTTGTGCTGACACGCTAACTTGAAAAAGAGGGTTATGGTTATGGGTTTCCAACGCGTTTTGGGGATAGGGTTCATCAGCGTTGCAGACATTCTGTCATGATTGAGACATCCAGATAGAATTTAACGAGCAATCCACGGTCTCTCAGGCAATTTGTATGGGAACTTCAGGCAAGCCTCGGTGACCTCATAAGAAGCTGGAACAAGGGCTATCAGTTGAGCTTTTCAAGGTGTAATGCGGAACTTCAGAAGAACTTCAGAGCTCAAAGACGGAGCTAAAGGGGGGGCTAAAGGGGCCTAGGGGAGATTCAAGGCTAACTGGCTGGGTCGGTCAAGAGTACCTGTGCACGCAGAGCTTTGCAAGGGGAAGGTTCATCTCTAAAGTCTGTCGCGGATCAAACGGAGGTTTCTAGCAACTAGGGGTGTGGGGTCCCAGGATGGAATCATTTTCCGGTACTTAGTGGAGGATCCCTAACTTGGAAATCTTCAGAGCATGCCGATGGCATGGCTATGCAGTCCTCTCGCAGACCAGCTTCAGAGATCATAAGCCCAAAGGAGTTCGACGCGCAGCTTTAGTGTTTACCATGTATCCTCTCCAAGCCCACTGTCCCGCCAACCTGCCTGCAAAATGTACCCTTCTCCTCATTTGGTGATTTAACCTGTTTGGGGTTGTTTCTCCCATGCCTGAGAAATGCAGAACAGGACCACGACGTGACTGCTGCGTGGTCCTTCTTCAGTTTGCTGGTGCTTACCGGGGAGTGGGGGAGCGGATCCCAATAGCATTTCCTATGTAATTTCTCATGTAAAGCTACCTATATTCCCTCCCCCCTTCCTTTCTGGGCACCAATCAGTTTGAGGTTGGGCCTCAAAAAAAAAGAACGAGAATTTGCGTTTGCCAAGCCTGCCCGAACCCTACTCTCACCTGAGAATTCTAGATCCTTATCCTGCTGCGGTGAACAATAGCATTCACCGTCAACTCCTAAACTATAAGCAGGAACCTGATACATCAAGTCCTAGCCCAGCGTTCGCCTGGCAGGCCTTCAAAGGCATGTTGGGAGTAGCGCTGCCAAAGCAGCTCGCAGCGCTGCTGCCAGAGTCCCAGTACTCTGCATCGAGGTTGATTTTCAAGGAGTTCCCAGGAAGAGCTCAGCATACATGTAAAGGTGGGATGCCATTTACTCCCTGCTGTCTTTGAGAAAGCACAAACGAGAGCGTTGTCTTGGCTTTCAGAGGGCTTCAGGAGTTCAGGCCCACATGGAACTCCAAAAAAGGGCAGTGCAAATGTCATTATCCCTTGAAAAGAGGGTTCTGTAAGGTTCCATGTTAGTTTGTGGGAGGGCAGACAATATGGAAGCCCCGAGGCTTGCAACGTCATTCTTCAGCGTGGAAGCTCAGAGAGAGGCTCCGAGAATCTTGGCTGCAACCACTGGGAAAATCAGCACCCACCACTTCCGCAGGAACAGCTCTTCCACAGCTCTTCCAAGGCCTGTCGTGACTGTAGTCTGAGGTTGTGAGTTACAGGTATATGTGGGAGGTCCTCACACCCCCTATCTGTATATTATATAGATATATATATATATATACGCCATGATTATGTTCAAAGCCCGTGCTCGGCCTAAATGTAGGATGACCATCAAAGTTGTAAAGTTAAACAGTTTTCATGTAACCCTGCAATCTACAGAGTCCTGGATGCAAAAGGGTCTGAGGTGTGAGCCTAGCCATCTTTCCAAGAAGCCAAGCTGAAGCAGCCAAGGAAAGCCTTCAGGCTCGGTGCTTGCTGCGGAAGTGATTCAGGGTTTAGGTCTTAGGTTCAGGGATCCAGGGTCTATGGTAGCCTTCCGTCCGGGTCATCAAATTTGAGGCAAGCTACGAAGAGGGCTCGATCTGGTAGACTTTGATTTTTGAACGGCGGCTGGAGACTTCAAGCTGCCAGGATTGTGTGGGAAGTTGTTTGTTGAGAGTAGACTTTGTTTTTGTGCATCAAGCTCCCGTGGTTTTGGTCTAAGCGACCGTTTTCTTTTGGATGCCCCGGATGACCTGAAGTTAATGTTTGCCAGTGTTCACCTCCCCTTGCCTGCATAGCTCCCAGAACCTCACGTTCTTCTGCCTTGGAACCGCAAAACGCTGTGGCAGTTGTTTAGCAGGGGAAGAAGCAAACATCTCATAATTTGGGCAAGTTTGAGTAATTCATTCCTTCATCCAGAATACAGTCCTTAATAGTGTGTTCCCTCCAGAGGCAAACAGGTCTCTTGTTGATTCTAGGGCGCCAGGCACTCTCTGCATTGCCATACCTGAAGCAGTCCGCGTACTTTGCCACCTCTGGGCTACCAGGCTCAAGGACAAGAGCTGTCCCAGCTTTGTGCCTTTGGGTATTTGCCTGAACCCTGAAAAAGTAGGTAAGCTAATTTCCCCGAACCCCCTAGAAGCTGTCGAAAGTTGTATTCCTCTACATGCTTTGAAGTTTAGGCCATGGCATTCACCAGGAAGTAGAAGCTTCCTGCAGGATTTGCGGCTGCAGGTTTCTTCTTTAATCGGGCAAGCGTATTCCAGATTCCCCTTCCAGGCTTCAGCTGCCGTAGGGCAGGGGCTCCCTACACCTTACTATTCACCATAGCATGCTCCAGAATGGCATTCCTCCATGTCCTGGTGGATTGGAAACCTGAGGTTCCGAGTAAAAAACCTTATATAACCTCATGATCTTACAACCGCACCCAGCCCAGTTGACATACAACCTGACTGTTGAAGCAATGCCTGCAGCAACTGTTGATGACAAGCGCAGCGCCCGCTATGCTGCATGGCGGCAGCTTCCCAGTCTTCGGCCTCAGGATGGTGAAGAGCACGTTTGGGTCGATGGCAGCCAAGGCGGTGAAGATGGGGCAACGGACAACTTTGCATGTTTAAGTGGGGGCAGTGGGGCTACCAGTATCGCCAGTGAGCCATGCGCCAAACGGAAGGCCTTCTCTTTGACTCGTTCGTAAGGGGACACCGGTTCATGGAACTCCAAGGCTGTAGAGGGCGTTCACGGAACACTGCTCACAGCTTCAAGAGGCTAACCAAAGATGTTCCATGCATGCCCGATCTTCCAACTTGCTCGCAGGTGGGGTAGAACTCGCATCCTTTGCCGAACATGCCTTAGCTTCCCCGAAGCTCATTGTGGCTGTGGACGCAGAGTGGCAGGACCAGCTTGGCTCTTAAAACCAGCAGTATAACCCCATGGAACTCCAGCTGGCAGTTCATTCTACATTTCCCTTGCCATTTGATTCTCTGTTTGGTTCAGAGGTTTACTGAGGCTGTTGTTGGAGCTTTAAGGAGCCAAATAGTTTCGCTGCAGTGCATGCGCCCTTTTCGGCTTGCCTCAAAGCCTTGTGGTCACACGAATTCCTTTGCACAAGCGTTGCTGGCCCTATGTAGGGGAGCACTACTAAGTTTTCAGGTGGTTTTGGGACTTTTCCCCTGCCTGCCCAAGGGGGCTTCTAAGAGCAGTCTCGACGCTGCACAGGATCCGCGGCCGGTCTCGTTGGTCCAGCTGGCGATTTCAACAGAGTCTTGGCAGACCAGTGGTTTGAGTCCACGCTAGGGCCCAAGGGGTCCTTAAAATTATTGGGGGCATGGGTTTCCTTATTTATCCAATAAGGCTCGTTTTTTCTTCCCGAAGGAACATAGGAACTAAGTGCTGCAGTGTTTTTTTTTGCCACTTGAGTTTGGGACGTCACCCACTTGCCCTGCGGTGGCACGCCAAATCAGGTGACCACTGCTGACCCAGTGAACCCAAGCATTTACCTTTCCGTAGCAGTTGGCTGCAGACATCTCCGCCCAAGTTGTCGCCATTTGTTGCCCTAGTATTTCATGATGTGAGTGATAGCCAACGCCCACGAAGGGCATTTGCGATCTTGTATTTGCTAGAGCTTCACCTGTACAGCATGGTAGGCAGCGTTTTTGTCAAAGATAGAAGGCATAGAAACAGAACACACGTAGGATCTGCAACGTCCTCCGACGGTCTTTCTGGTGGATTTGGTGCACCCCCCTCCAGAAGAAGCGATCATGTGGTGCCGGCGCCTTCTGTCACCGCAGGCTTTGGTGCTGAAAGAGGGTTGGACGAAGAATGATTTGACAGTGCCTATATGAAGCTCTCAGCTCTCGTTATCCCAGTCCTCGAGCATTTTCCTTGGCAGCCTCTACTCAAAGCACCTCCACACGTTAGCTCGCACCAACCTTCACCCCACACAGCAAGACACTCGAGGCACATGAAGTCATAGCCTTCAGCTGCCACGAAGATAAGCGACGCCTGCATTTGGCTGGTCTGTTGGACGCAGATGCGGAAGACCTCAAGTGGCTGGATGTTCAGCGCCGCTTTGACCGCTCAGGGTCGCCACCAAGCTTACAGGCGGTCGTTGCTGGAGCTCTGGGATGTTGGATGGACAAGCGGCTTCAGACATCAGACTGGGACACAAGGCCGCTGAGTGCGGAGCAGAAAGTTTACGCAGCCCTTGATGCTTCTGTCCTGCTCCGCCTCTATGGCTGCCAGCCTTCGCCAAGGTTTTGGCAGCTAGCGGCCCCGCATCCGCGACCCGCAACCGACGTAGATGCACCTGAAGATGCGAAAGATCGCTGGCATCAGTACCGCAGGCATGCTAGTCGCAAGCGTCAGCGGATCTTCACCGGAGGGGCGCGGGAGCAGAATGCTGATTTATGCTTCCTGCTACCATCCAATCTCACCCGACTCATGAGGAATCGCGGGCCATGCTGACTCCCCCAAGAAGAGATCAATTGAGTCAAGCCCGTGTATAGCTCCAGACGCCCATGCGTTCCCACTGACAACATTGAAGCAACATGATAGGCGTTGACTGCAGAAAGCTCAACAGCCCCCTTCAGGTGGAGGTTATATCAGGGATGATCTAGGGGACTACTACAGGGGTGGTTAAGGGGATACTAGGAGTTTAGACTTTAGACCCTAAACCCTAAACCCTATGGGGGTGTAATTAAAGGATATACGAGGACTTTAGAGCCTAGACCCTAAACCCTATATTATAAGGGGGATACTAGGAGTTTATAGACTATAGCTCATATGCACTGTAGAGCAACCAGAGAGAGAGGAAGATGCGCGGCTTGGGTCTTGACACGGAGATCATGAAGGACTGAGTTGCTGCTAAGGAACTTAATTTAAGCTACCGTGTTATGGGTATTTAGGGACTATATAGGGATGTATAATTTCTGTGTTTAGGGTTTAGGTAACCATCTTATGGGTATCTTATATAGTGATTAGTATGGATTCCTTATTCCACTGACCTAAACGAAGTTCCTTAACAGCAACTCAGAGGAAGGGGCAGCTCGAGCAGAGCTGGTGGAGCAGGCTGAGATGGACGACGCTCAACTGCACCATTCTGAGCACCGGGTGTTTCAGCATCCCCTGAATAATCACCCCGATTGTAGAAAAAAAACAGTGATTGATTTTCCTAGGATCTTCTAGGATCTACATAAAAGGCTGTCATTGACCTGGCACTTCCTTCATGAGGGGTGGCCAGGCATTTCTATAAATAGGGTCGGTCCATTGACTGATGATCTTGGTTGTTACAGCCACACAACCTATTGTGGAATCCTTAAGCATTACTGTATAAGTTATGCTATCCCATGCTATCCCCTCATACCCCTACCCCGTTGTATGCAGTCCTGACTGAAACACTAGTGTTCCATGAATTGTGGTTTCATCCTACTGGCCAGCCTCTAGCCAATGGCAGGATAATCTTCATGATGCCTCAAGTACTCCCGTATAGGGACCCCAGGATTCCCAGATTAGTCTCCAGGATGCCTAAGGGTATCTTCCAGCCAAGGACAGGATCATTCTTTTCTACAAGGCCAAGAACCCGCTGCCAGCTCGCGTTGCACACAGGCCCTGGGGTTGGGGGATCTTAAGTGGACCGTTGCCGGGTGCCCCAATGCCAATGCAGAAGCTTCATCAACGAGAATAGCTAGTGTTCAAGGATAAATTTGAATGCGATCAGATGAGGGTGAGAAAACCACATATTTGGTGATTGTTTGGGCTTTCTCGTAATTAGTACGCCGATCTGGGACTTTCCATGACGTCTCGCGCCAGCAACTTATCCATCTGGATCTCTCCTATGCCAATCACTTGCTCCGCCGGCTTCACAACAGAAGAAAGTCTCCATGTTGAATGCTTACTTCGAGCCCTCATTCGAACCAGCCAGCCGCCCTTTCAATGCAGCCAAAGAACAGGACGTACATTCTGGAGAGCACTACGCCAGACGAGCAGCTGCGAGATGTTATTGAGACCTTTGACGTCGTTGTGGACTCCGACTGCTTGTGTGGGCGATGTCTCTTGGCTAATTAGTGCGCATCCTCATTTCGAAGCACTTGCCGGCGGTAAAGGCCCCAAAGTTCATCATCATGCTGACTGAGAAACATGTTCTGGCAAACTATAGTGACTTCACCTGTCCTCAACCCAAATGATGATCTCCTTTATATTAGTATATAATACCTGCCCAAGAGGGCTTTGCTTTAGTCCAACAAGACACGTAGGGTTGTTTGCAGGATGATGGTTTAGGGGTCGTATTACTCCAGGGTTCAGAAAGAGGTCACAACTTTTCACAACCAACCACCTGTTAGTAGCCAAGATGCCCGAAAGGTGTGCAGTGCAATGCCTGGGACTGGCAGCTGGTCGGACGCGAAGCTGTGCGAGGCAACCCACAGGTTGCCGAGAAAACTCTGGAAAGCTTCGATGAATTCTGGGCGCCCTGGCCTCAACATGGGTTGGCAGTCCATTTCAAGATGGATTGTGGAGGTAGCATGTCGTTGTGAAAGGGCATTCTGTATTCTATCAGCTGAAGAGCTAGGCTTCGGCATTTTTCCAGCTACTTATTAACAGTCCAGAGTCCAGCCTCGGAAACGGAATGCAATTTAAATTAGTTCTTCTGGCAAGCTCTTGGAACTGCTAAAGCCCATGATTCGGGCTTTCCCTCGGGACGTTTCATGCATGGGGCATTCGTTCATGCAGCGTTAGAAGTCTTCTGGTCTGGGATTGGATGCTTGCGATGTCGTCGCCATGTTTTTCCACCCTATTAAGCCTCCAAGCCTTCTTCTATACATCCCATTGAGAGGTTGTGAATCTGGGCTCCATGTTCTAGAGCTGCAAAGAATGAATTTGAGGGCATATTATGGTTACAGTCTTTTTGGAGCAGATGCATGCTTTTCCCATTTTTCCCGAAATAATACGAAGCGCCTACTCAGACACCCTTCAAAGGGACAGGCGTTTTTTTGTTTTCAGTCAGCCTTTCCTGGTTCCATGTTATCTTGGGAAAGTGGAAAACCTAAACGCCATACCTCCTGATAAATTCCCATGATTATACGTTGTATAACCGTCGTATAACCCGTAGATCATTATATAACCCGTAGATCAACCCATACATTCTTCTGAAAGCATGGCAGGTTTGTGGCGGATGCGGCAAGATATACTGGGAGGGCAAGATGTTCGTGCAGGCCCTGGGGCATTTCCGCGGCTTTATGCCAGATACAAAAGCTGAGGCCAGCCAGAGCTTACAGTCGCTCAATATGTCATTCAGGAAGTGAAGACATATATTTTGTAACATACCGACATAACTACGACATGTTGCCTGGATATGCGTGATTTGTTGTGTGTAGCAGAACCAAGGCCAACCAGCAGATCTCATCCCGAGGATCAGCTTGCTATGCGCTCGCAGGAGTTTGAGGCCCTGGGTTGGAGCTCCTACCGCGTGCGAGCTGCTGCTTTTCTCTCAAGTGGACTAAGATGTGCGCAACAGGGTTTCTGAATGATTTTAGATCTTGGGGGTTGAGAGCTCGGGTAGCGCTAGCAGCTACGTTGCCAGCGGATTGGCCGACAAAGACAAAGAGCAAAGCTCACATGCCTAAAGGCTATGGTTCGCAATGGCTGGTGGAGCACGGAGAGGGCCTTAGACAACGAGGCCAGCCCCGCGCTACGTGTTTGCACTTTTTTTTCACAAAATCTCTCTCTCTCTCTCCTTCGCGTACCGAAGCTGCGGCAAACTTGAGCTTTGTTCTTCTTTCTGCGCTGGAGCTTCAACACAAGCTCTGTACGCTTGGGTCCTACACAGCCAAACATGTTGCTCAACCATGAGCGTCACGCTTCTAATCATTACGTGTGGCCGTGTGGCTACCAGACAGTCACGGTACCTTCCAGGCCGAGGAGCCTGCAGATGAAAAGAGCAGCGCCGCACTGGACACACCTGCACCTGCCACTTCTGGCTACAGTGGGGCCCGCACTGCACTTCCCCGGTTACGCGCCCTGCCAGGCATCTCTGTCCTGACTGCGCTTTCAGTCCTGACTCTCATATATCCAGCAGTAGAATTCTGAGACTTGTTCATGACACGTGTTGCGAGATGGGCATAAGTCGTAGGCTACAGAAAAAACCTGTGCATAGTTTGTTGCTTCCGTCTGGTTGGAGAAGTGAGGACCGGCCGTCAGCAGATCCATGCCCGCCCGCCCCAGCAGGGCATCTGGCAGCAAAGAAGGTCTCCTCTTGCCCAGAGGCTGTCGCTTGCTCAATGCATGGAGCCTTGGTCCTGAAGTTGAGGGGTTTACGCTGGTTGGGTCCTGAAAGCACGTCGCTCTGTAAAGTTTTTGTTTGCGCAGGGTTCAGGGTTTAGGGCTTAAGCCTTTTATGCAGGCAGCCCTGAGATGGACACTAGGCATGACTAGTTATCGAGTTTCTGTTTGAAGCAGTGTTTCAGAAAGCTGAAGTCTCATTCCTTGGAACATGCAAGACCTGAGGCGCAGCCAACCCGCTGCACCAGGGTGCCATTTCAGAGAAAGGTCCTGGCAAAGTGGGCTTGCGAATTTCGAGCTCATGCAGGTATGGCGCATGGTACCTTTGGTCAGTGACTGCCTGTGCTGAGGAAAATTTAGCTCCGCAAGCTGGTGTTGAACAAGCTGCCAGAATCCTTCTCCGGCTTCGAATCATGTTTCGAACGATGTATGTGTGTAGAACGTGTTGGGAAGCCTGCCGCACTGGGATCATGTGGTACTTCGCTTGGACTTCCTGTAGACTGGTTTCTGTCCATTTCGTAAGGAGGTGTTGAGAATCCGCTTGGCCAGTTAAATGACTGCAACTCTCAAACTTGAAGGCTCAACTCTCAGCATGGCAATCTAGTGTATACTTTTCAAAGCCGTTCAAGCGTTATTCCACCTTGCTTTCTATTGCTCGAACTCTTCTTGTTTGCGCTTTTCCCTAGAGAATGTTTGCCACCTACAAGATATCCTGTCACGACGAGGTTCAGCAGTGCTTCTTGGGAGTCAGGAGACCATGTCCTTTCCCGATTTCAGCCAGAGTTCAACATTTGTTCTTTAGTCCACCTGACTCTGATCTGACATCCAGCCTGCCCAGCACTTGGTGCTCAGAGGCAGTTCAAGCTAGGTCAATAGTAGGTTTCCCACAAGCGAAGTCAAAGGAGTCAAAGGGTACTTTTCAGTGCATGCATCTTCTGGCTACAGAGGGGAACTCACGACCCACATATTCCCAGCAATCCAACACTGGTTTGACAAGCTAAGAATGAAACAGTAGGCGTGCGGGTGCTGTATAGCATTTTATGCCTCAGGAGGTTCATTTAGGTAGCGCGTGGTATGTGAAATCAGCTCACAAAGCCTCAGTCATTGACCCCAGCGCAAAGACTGGAAACACGAATCGGCACTGCTGCCAGGGATCCTGGTGATTCTCATTGCGTGCGGCAGCTTGGCAATTGTCTTCATCGCAGCCTTGCTGCTTATCAGGTGGGGCTGTTACAGCACAACTGGCTTGAAAAATGTACTGCCACGTTGAGAGCGGTCAACTTGGAGCTAAGGCCTCCCATAGTTGCGTCAGGGAGCCATGCTTGTTGAATAAGTGAACAGTATCTTGTCCTGACAGGTGTATGGAGTTCACGCATCGGAAACTCACCGGCAAGCCGTGCTCTCAGTGTAGCGCACTCACGACAGATCTCCGGGCAGTCTCCAAGTCATGAGCCACCTTCTGAGTAGAAACGGTTCGTTGGCAGTGACAGCTTGGACTCCCATGTTTCCCTTGTGCGTAGCATCAGGAGAGACGACAAGTTCGAATAGTTCTGCCGATTTCTGCCAGTGATGCGTGGAGTTCAGCAGCAGGTAGCGCGAACAATTGCAGGGAGGCATTGCAGTGGCATCACGGATCAAGACAGTTATGAAAGCTAACAATTGCTGAATAGTAGCATGTCTTGCATCCTTCCATTGTTCTGAAGGGACTTCCTGCTGTTACTTACTCCCTTCAAAGAAGCATAACGAAGCACAAAGACAAGCTTCCGCTCTATGCGGAGTCATTATGTGCAAAGAAATGGAGCTAAAATAAGCTCGCAAAAAAGGGCGCGTGGCCCCAAAGCAGGCGATGTGCAGCATGGCTAAATCATGCCAGCTGCATTACTAATGCCCGATGATTGCACGTGGCGTGTGAAAAGGAGCACGCGACAGTTTGCTGCTCTAACCTGTGGACTCCCAGGATTTGCACCGCATTCTAGTCAACAAGCATGAGCTCCAGCGGTGCCGGAGAGTATCCCAGGAATAACCTACATATTCGCGCGTGTCCTGGTGGGCTATTCTTTGTGAATGGGTATGGCATAGGTAGCGTTAGCGGCCCCTGAGGAGTGCACCATCAATTCCCGACAGAGCTCGCGATGCAGGCCTTGGGATCTGCATGGTGGCCAGACCAGAACACAAAACCACCTTACTGTGCAAAGCGGCAAATGCTGCTGCACAGTTTCATGTTTTCCTCTTTCCTCTTATTCAAGGTCACGGTCCCTACTGTTGCACAAAACGCCGAATTTCAACACTCCTTCTTGGTTCCAATCAGCGGCCTGCATGTGAACATCAGTACCACAAGCTAACTCCCAGGGGATGACCCTAGTTGGCAGACATCCCCGAATGTTGTACGAACTTCCTAGTAAAAGCTTACAAATCATACGTCAGATCCCGCACGAGCTACTGTGAAATTGATGGAAGCCCACTCGGATTCCACCCACTCTTGGCGGTTCTTGACGCTATAAATCGTAGTGAAAACTTATCCGTTTCAATTAGGGTCCTAATTTCTAGAATGTCAAATACTCCATAAAACCTATTCAAATCCACATGGTTTTTCTTCTGGAAGACTTCTTAAATCCCGTATGAAGTCTGTACTTGGAAAGTCTGCTACGCCCGTACGCCGCCAAATATGTCATGTAGTTATACCTGGATATATAGATACTTGTATATAATGCATATGTGGACATATATACATATGTTTCAGATGTTTATGCATGTATATTTCAAGTAGGATTCTGATGATTGGGGTACGGACCTGGCTCACTGGTTGTTGCTTGATATCCAGGAGCGAAGGGTACAGGAGTTGAGTCTTGAAGGGAAGGATTGTCCATGGCTCACGCTCAGGTCGAAAGCCTTTTTTTCACAAAGGTTGCACAAAGTATGAAGCCCTGACGAGTCTTGTTGGTCCTTTACAAGTATCTTGATACAATGGCTCAAGAGGCCTCATCCGCAGCCCCTCTTCAAGCCCAAAGCATCGAGAGCGAACATGACCTCACTCGTTCACACTCCTCCTTGAGCGCGGCCTTCAGCCAGGCTCACAACCTCAAAAGAAACACGAACTTGCGTCCGTTGTCATGGGAGCTCTCCAAGCCTCCCTGAGCCCAAAACTGAAATGAGCTATGTCCCTCCTATGCTTCCTTCCACATGTGAAGCCACGAGAGATACTCTCGCGCGTGGATATGTTCTGCCAAACAAGAGTACAGCGCATTTGTAGCTTACGATGCTTCCAGAGCCAGAGCGCATACCTCAGCTGATTATCTGTTGGCAAAGACCTTCCAGGGATTTCGAATCCGTCATGGTGTGTCAGCCGCAGTGCCAACCTAGCAGCTCTCTCAGGTTTTAGACCTGAGAGGGGCAAATTCTCAAGTCGCAGGCCCTGCTTAATGTTTTCGCAAGACATCAGCTGGACCACATCTCTGCACAGACGCTGTCGGTCCAGTTGTCTCAGCAGATCATCATCTACCGAAGGAGTTGTGCTTTGGGAGCTCTGTGCACCTGGTGACGAGCGCAGTTCCAGGGTTCGTGCCATTCGAGGAGGACTTGCCTCGCGACGACTACGCTCCAAATCCGTTTGCGTTCCCACAGAGCAGAAGCTTCTTGACTGCCCTACAGCTGTCTCCACCGCCTGCTGCACCTGCTGAGATGTAGCTGCACTCGAGCCCTCGATACTGCCTGTCCAATGGCGTTCAATCTCAGACTCAGCTGCCAAGCGTGCCATTTCTCGCAACCGTCGAAGCTCTCTGGTTCTTCGAGAACCACAGCAACCAAAAACCATGATGCGACCCAGCCACTTCATAGCTTCCCAGCAAGCTATGGCGCCCAGACTTGACACAACCAGCATACATGTCAGCTCCCAAGCCCCTGCGCTTGGCAAAGGCTCCTTGTCAAACTTCGCACCCATAACGCCTAACGACTGAGCTGCTAGCATCAAGCACAAAACACAGGACAATGCAACCAGCTTCAGAACCATAGTCTGTGACAACTCAGGCAGACCAAGCATGCCGCAAACCTCCAACAGTTGCAGCAGTCTGGCACGTCCATGAAGCTTGGTCGGTAAATCGGCCAATTGGAACTCACCAGGCACATGCCGAACCTTCAGTTTCTGTGAAGCTACCCGATCAACCACGTACGAGAACCCAACACGTAGGTGGCGCGTGCGCCAAGATCCAACTGAAGGAGGTTTCCAGCTGCTTGATTGTCTATACGCAGTGCAGGCGCCCCTTCAAGAACGCCTACTTCTTCCAGCATAGACTGTGTGGACTCCAGTAGCAGTGCGCATGTTGAACCATCCACTAACTCTGCCACACAAACACTCATCGTGACATACGGCCGCTTTCCGGCCTTCCATGCCACAGGTGATTGGCTCACGACTGCCAAACTGCAACCAAAACTTCTCGAACCAAAAGGTGAGAAGCTTGCGTCGCTGTAACCGCCTAAGGTAACCTTAAAGGGTGCCCTATGTGTGGGTTGCTGTGCTGAGTGGGGATGTTGAGTGCTGCTGCTGCTACTGCTGCTACTGCTGCTGCGACCGTCCATCTTCAGTTTGAGCTCTGCAGAGGCGTTCAAGTAGGACAGGACCTTCATGCCTATCCTGGCCACGAAACAAGGACGTCTAGCCACAGTCAAGGCCATATAATTCGTCACGTAGACGATATCTGGACGGGTTCTGCAAGAGAGCCAGAGGCACTCGCCAACGAGCCGCTGTCCTTGTCGAAGTTCGTCTCCTCCTCAGCAGTGAGGTCTGCATCGCCAAGCCACTCCTTAGGGCATGGAAGGGTTGCCTTCGCGTCCTCCGCGAAACCATGGGACTTGACTAAGTTCTCCACGTATCCACGCTGGCCCAGACTAAAGGCTCCATCAAGAACCTCGAGCTCCATCCCCAAGTAACGGATGCCACCCACTTGGCATGAATCGCATGGACCACTTCAAGTAATGCTAGGTACAAAAGATCATCCACATAGCATACTATGATGCCGTACAACACCGGAACCTCCGTGCCATGGACATAGAGAATCAACCACAACTCCGTATCCGAAACCAGGGGTTTGAGGATCAGATGCCCAGCGTCATAGGGAACTCGGATCTTGTTCAACTGTTCCGTGCGGTATGCTGCCCATAAGGAAGGCGCCTCCCTGAGGCCATACAATGGTCGTCGCGCCAGAAACACCTGGTCACATTGCACAAGTCCACATTGCGCCAAAATTTTTGGAGGAAGAACTCCGTATGTCGGCTTGGACTCTGGCCATGTTGCTAGAAGGAACGCTCCGGTAATGTCGGTAGCCGCAGCTATCCACCCAGCAGCCGTTGCCAAACACAGGGCAATGCGCAGACTTTCTGCCGAAGCTCCTGATGCATATAGTGTGGCCTTGGTATGGTCGGAGTCGAGGCCAACATGATTCCCACAAATGACCATACGAGCCTGGCGCTTCCATCTCATCTTGGATGCAGACGTAGCTGATGGTTCCGGCGGAGGCTTAACTGTAAACACCATCTTGCCAGGCACCAGTCGCAACACACCCTTAGCCTCCTTCTTGCGAGCCTGTCATAGGAGATTCGTTCGACCGCACCTGTCGTCGTCTCCACGTTGCTCAGCTCCTTCTTCATGGCTTCGACCCATCTTGTAAGATGCGTTCGAACTTGGTCCAAGGAGACAGTAAGAGTAACACCCAAGTCACCTTCCAAAGCATCCAAGTAGGCCTCAACGTCGGCCACGGAGTCGATTTCCTCTTGAGAAACCGTCGCCGCCTTCAGGAACAGCTTGGTGGACTCTTGCAGCGCCTTGTCGAGATCAAGCTGTATGTTCTTCACCATATCCATCACGGCTTCTCTGGAATCCAGGGCTTCCTCTCGTACAAGGTTGCCGATATCGGCCAACTCCTCAGCTAGCATCTCCTCCTCAGCTAGGAGCTCCGTAAGAAAATCAGCACGCTGATGAAGACGAGCCACAACATCTTCTTGTAAAGACTGTAGCTCAGCTGTAGGCTTCAAGGCCCTCTTCTTGATGTCCTCGCTTGTCGTCCCTTCCTGGCTGAGAAACGCGACTGCATCCGCCTGCTTATCTTCTGAAGCCATGTCCAACATGTTCAACGTCGGTGTGAGTATGTCTGGACCATGCAGGGGAGGAGGACTGAAGCCCATATCCAGCAAGGCATTGTAGGTTGGTCTTGTCATGGCGCCCATACGTGGGGTGTATGCAATCATCACCAATCGCCGGCCTTCCCACAACTCAGACTGATGCCAGAGCCTCGCGTTAAAGCGGAATGGGACCCCCACTTCTAGATCATGAACTCGTCCTCGGCGCCACTCACCATTGGGAATCCTTCTCCACTCATCCTCGAAGGAGTAAGTCTCAGGTTTAGCTTCGACCCAAGTACCACCTCCACGATCACAAGGAGCCAACGCGACCACAATGTTGTCTAATGTTGTCTGATAGCCTCTCATTGTGAACATCACGATAGCAAGTCATGCCCACATTATCCGAAATGGACAAAGCAATGAAGGTGTCTGAGCCTGCAACCTCCTCAAAAACCCTTGTGAGATAGGCTGTCAAATGAGGATATTTGTAGGTGCTGGACATCAACCCACAAAAGCCACCATGTGTGTATTGCCCGACTGCCAAGTAGCTTGGGTTCTCGCCATGAACACATGTCCGGTTCTTCGGTGTGGCGTGCCGCTTGGCGATATCCCAGAGGCCACGAAGATCTTGCGCATCAAAGTGCCCATCCTCTATCAAGGCTTTGGCCATGTCCTCAACCTCATCCTTCACAGCTTGGACACTCTACACTGATGTCTTTTCTCGCAGCCTTGTATACGCTCAGGTCGAGGAACAGGAGCTTCCATAGGCTCAAGCTCCACCAACGCGTCACTATCCACCAGAAAAGGTCTCATTCGGACAACCTTGCCATGAACGACGTCCTCGCTCCAACCAGCAAACTTGCCTTCAAGCCACCGCTCCTTCAAATCAAACTTGCCGCCTTCACCAAACATCTTGGCCTTGCAATGGACAACCGTGCCAAAGGGGATGTCCAGCTCGTGCTTCTGGTCCAGGGCCAAAGCTCGCTGTCTCCCTGCTGCGTACGCCATAGCCAGCGGCCAACATGATTTGGGGAGTCCGCTACTCCTCAACAAAGTGCGCGTCCTCCTTTTCAACAGTCGCACTGCCGTTTCGGCTCGTCCATTGGACTGGGGCGACTGCGACTCTCCAGTGGTGATAAACATGTCTCTCACTTCCGCCCAGGTCCTCAAAGACGGCGCCATGAGTTCCCGGCCGCGATCGCTATGAAGCCGCGCCACAGGAAGTCCTTCACGGCGTAGCTTGAGGCAAATGCTTCGAACTCCAGCAAACACCTCAGAGGCAGTTCGTCGCTGAAGAGGAACCATGTAATGGAGCGACTGATACTCCAAAGTGTCCCCGACATCCTTGTAGAGGGCCTTGAACCGTTCATTACGTGCTTGTTGTCCTGGATCCTCCTCGTTCTCACTCATCCCAACCCCTGCGCCATCATCTGCAACCGGCTCCTCCTCGACCTCCAAAGGATCCGCTTCATCTACCTCAGCATTGTCCTCAGGGATGTCGTAGTCGTAGAAACCTTCCAGTTAAATGAACGTAGGAGGGAATGAGTGCGTAGCGAAAGGCGGTCCTGGCAGTAGTTTCGCCTTTGTGACTCGGAATGGCCCTGCTATATCCAGCGACAGGCTGTACGCTGATGGTGCTAGCACTCTTCGGTGGGCTTTTCCCGTACCTGCAGTTCTTACGCAGGTCCGGCAGCGCCTATCATACGGCACATGCCCGTCCCGTACATGCCGCTCCCATCGACGAAGCTCAGCATCAGACATGTCTTCCAAGTTGCCACCCAGCCTAGCCAAGGCTCGTGCTGCACGAACAGTGTAGGGACCAACCCTCCAAGCTTGTATGGCCGCGCCAAGTTTTAACCTCAGGAGTCTCTGAGATTTCAAGCTCACCGCGAGGATGTACAGGAGTACCGCCCAAGTCCAAATCCGAAGCGAAGAGGTAGGTCTGCAGGTCATCCTGGACATACACCAACGGGAAGTCATACACAGCATTGAACCTATGCCATAGCTCGATGCCCCAAAAGGTGTGTTTTGCGGCAGCTCTAGGGCCAAAAACGGAGTGCGAACTCCTTCTCTAGCTGAGCCCTTTTGTGCCACCAACCACAGCAGCAAAGCCCGGGCCATCAGGAGACCTTCTTGAGGATGTTGTCTCGGCGGACCTCCATAGATCCCTTCGACTTGCCCCCGTCCCGCTGCCCACAACAGAACCTTGTAGAAGGAGTCCGAGAGCAAATTGGAGGCTTTAGACACTCGTATGTCCACGTTGTGAGGACCGTCACATGGTCGGTCTCCACCACGCTAAGCTCCGGAGCCTGCCCATCCCCACTAAAGAGATGCATCGCCCACCTCGTTCTCAACAGCCGTCGCCTGGTCTTTCTTCCAAGCGGCAAAGCCTTCAACACATGAGCTCCTGCTTCGTCTGAGAAATCAAGGTTTGAGGTCCCCACGACGGCCATGATAATGGATTCCGCGCCTTCAAAGAGAGGCCCTTCATCATCTTTAAGCATACGACGCAAAGCCATGATCTCACCTGTGCTCAAAACTCTGCTCCACGCAGTCTTCCCAGGTTTGTGATGAAGAACTCGCAAGCTCGCTCTGCAAAGCGTTTATGGCAGCTTATGGCTCCATATGCTGTTTGCTGCCGCAGCTTCTCTAGCTCCAGCTGCTCCAGATCTCCAATACGTTGAAGTGCTTCAGCTTCGCTCAACATCGGACAGTTTCCCACGAAGCGTGCGGGCAGGAGACCATGGACCGGATGATAAACTCGAAGACCATGACGTCGGTTCCATTTCTAGGTACATCCCAGGGACTGAACCAAACTACCCAGCGGAAGAATAGTGCAGGCTGTGTCCTTGCCATCATTGGGCTGCTCGGGTAGCAGCGTGCCACCATTGGTTTGCTTCAAATGGACAGTACGCCCATCCGCCAACTGAACTGCCACTCTTTTGGCCTCGTAGCGCTCGCGGTTGGACTTGGTTGCCCTATATGGATGACTTGTGAGTCTAACAAGGCCATCTGTTGCGAAGGATCGAAGTTCTGAGCCCTCAAAAGAAGTTCCAAACTCTCCACAGCACGATCAGTGTCCTCTTGTGTCGGGCGCAAACTTGCTAACCTCTTCAAGCTAGCCAAAAACTTCTCCGCCAAAGCCCCAATCTCCTGACTCGAAGAAGCGCTCGAAGTGGTATCCAAAGGAGCTTGTGAGGATTGCGTTGAGGTACTCATAGCATTGGATCCAGAACTGACTGCAACGGCAACCAAGCTGGGGGTTCTTGTAAGGGCGGAGCCAAAGCTGCCAAAGTAGCTTCTTGTCCAGGAGATGCAGTAGGCGATAAAGAAGCCGCCCCAGTGGCTGACCCCGAAGAAGACACCGTAGTCTTAGGAGGCTTGCCCTTTGTCCCGCCAGATTTGCGCGGACAGTTAGTCTGACGATGAGTTTTGGCACCACAAGTCCAACACCTGGCTCGACGCTTTTGCTTGGCAGGAAAATCATGAAGGTACTTGCATTGAGCTCCACGCCGGCATCCCTCCTCGGTCAGGAAGTATCGGCGTGGGTTCTTTTTGGCCGTTGGACTCGCCCCCGATGATCCTTGCGAAGTAGGACTGTCAACTTGAACTCCCTTCAGTTTCGGAACATCGCCTTTATGGATGGGGATGATCTGTTGGAGCTCAGCCAGGATGTGGTCGGTGTAGTTCAGCACAGCCGTGTGGGTAGGTATATGTGGTAAATGCGACGCTTGCTTGGCCATACTCAACTTGAAGGAAATATCTCGATTGCCTTCCACCACCTTCTTGATCGCTCCCTCTACGGCCACCAACAACACCGATCCATCTGGCAAGGAGACACCCATCTCATGAGCACGCCCTATCAGTTTCTTCCACTTCCGCAAAGCCATGGTCACTTCAAGCACTGAGTCGTCAGCAGGAAGTGTCTCAAGTTGACGAATGAGACTGGCTCTCTCTCTCTCTGTAGTTCCACCCGGCGCATAGACAGTGTACAACTTAAAGATGCATGTCTTCACCTTGCCAATTCGCAACATCATGACTTCATTCTTGATCGTGGCAGGCATGGACTGCAACAAAAGTGGCATCACTCGTTTCTCCAGGCGAAACCACTTAGGATCATCAATCTCAGCGTCCGAAGCCACATCTACCTTCAAGCGATCTATCAAGCGAGAGCGCCAAAGTTCGCTCCCACCATCCTGAAGCGCGGTCTGTTATGGACCCCACAACCTGGCCCGTTTCGTAAACCCACTCCAAGAAAGCCACAGCACTTCCGTCTTGATATGGCTCCGGCGTTTTGGGCAGCTCTACGGATCCCTTCAGAAGCTCAGTCACGTCGAAGCTGAAGTTGTTGTAGTTGCTGCATACCTTCCACAAGCATTTCCATGGGAGAGGTAGGAGATGTATTCGTAGGGGCTACTTCCTTCCCTTGCATGTCACGATCGCCGCCAGCCACCACCGAGGGCCCTAACGTTCGTTGAGCTTCCCCATGACTGCCAGTAGCTCCACTCACCCTTGCTGAAGTCTCTGCAGCGCCTTGACCAATGCCGCCTCCAGGAAGATCAGTGGGTGGAATGATACGCATAGGCTGAAGACCCCATTGTGATTGCGATCCAGGCCGTTTTACGGGTTCACCCAAAAGCCCTCGAGACCGCACTTCAAGTCCCGGAGGATTGCCTAAATCCCCTCGAGATCGTGCTTCAAGTTCCGGAGGATTGCCTAAATCCCCTCGAGATCGTACTTCACGTCCAGGAGGATTGCCTAAATCCCCTTGATCCAAAACCTGGAAGAGCAGGTGCACGAGGAAGGTCCCCTTGTCGTGGCACATAGTTGTTACGAACACCCCCAGAATTCCCAGCATCTTCAAGGACTCTGGGCCTAGATTGGCCTTCTTGTTCGGAACGCTGCTGTGTATCCGCGACTCGCTCCAACATGTCACCCCCTTCAACAACTGCACGCCGAAGCTGTCTAAGCTCCACATTCTCGGACTGCAAGTCTCTGACCTGCTGTCGCGCAGGGCCGCCGCAACTTGACGACGAACCTCATCTTGAAATATCTTGAACATCCTCTTCTGTGATGCCATCTACCTGAGCGGGGCGTTGGGGTCCAGAGAGAAGGGAGGACCCTTGCTCTGTCCACTCTCTCATGGCCCTTCTTGTTTGCGCATCCATCAAGGACTCCGAAGGGGCTGGTGATGCAGAGTGCCACGCTGACTGAGGTGAGGGGTTCAAAGGAGATCTTCACAAATGCTCAACTTGCTCACGAACTGGCTCAACAACTCTTCGTCGAAGGAATCCCTGAAGTCTGGAGTACCAAACTACTTCTTCGCCAGGATCCTCAAGTTGGGGCTCTCTAGCTGGATGTACTGCTGCTGAGCCTTCATCCTCTCCTTCTAGAACCGCAAACGCTGAGCTAGCCCTAGCCGCCCTTTGCTGCAGTGCATGAACAAGCCCTGTCCTCTGCGAAGCCAACTGCGACATTGCCCTCTGAGCCTCCAAAGAGATCTGAGTTCCAGCTGAACGTTCCACATGCTCGGAGTCACCTGAGGCAGGAACAGATGGTTCAGGAGGTTGCTGGGCTCTCTCTTGCGAAGGTGCATACGGAAGCGGCTGCTGTGTAGATGCTAGTTCTGCTGGAGCTGATGGTGTTATGGTGGGGGCTGGTGTGTTTGCATAATGCTGCCCTACGTTACCCTGAACCCTCGTCACGACCGGTCCGGTTTCGCGAGCCGCATTCGCGCTTGCCACCCCACTTGCTCCAGGCTCCAAGACCCATATGCGCAGCCGTAGTTGCACTCGCTGAAGGTGTTGTTCCAGAGCTACTAGAAACTGCAGCCGTACCATTCATCAAAGAAGACCCAGCTATAGCCCCATAACCAACTGGCAACTGGCTTCCCAAGCCCCTTGACCCTTGCAGAAACCCTTGCACATCCTGGCGACGCTCCTCAAACGCAGCGGTAAGCGTTGGGCTCATACCCTGATGATTGGGGTACGGACCTGAATCACTGGTTGTTGCTTGATATCCAGGAGCGAAGGATACAGGAGTTGAGTCTTGAAGGGAAGGATTGTCCATGGCTCACGCTCAGGTCGAAAGCCTTTTTTTCACAAAGGTTGCGCAAAGTATGAAGCCCTGACGAGTCTTGTTGTTGGTCCTTTACAAGTATCTTGATACAATGGCTCAAGAGGCCTCATCCCCAGCCCCTCTTCAAGCCCAAAGCATCGAGAGCGAACATGACCTCACTCGTTCACAGATTCTCACGCTGTGGCGGTTGGGATGCATGGGCATGAGGAGGGATGGCTGGCGTCGGGCAGGCGCCTACTGGGGTGAATTGAGAGGCGGGCATCGAATCATGGACTCCGCGTTTGTTGGGTGTATGGGTCCAGCAGAATGCGGCCCGACGAAGCTGGAGACGAAGTAGGAGTTTCTAGAAGGAGCGCACTTATCCAGAACCTATGCAGCCCAGAAATCAAAGACAATTTGGACTTAGCAATTTACAGCGACGCGATTAATTCAGCGGGAAGCCTTTCTCAAAGCAACCCTTACCTTCCCAGGTAAGTCCAGGTAAAATGATAGTGCTTCCCTACACGGCTTTTTCTCAGTTCTGTTGGGTAGCATGTGCTTGTTAGGGCAACCTTTTTCCTTCAACCCATGGTTGTATCAATGGTCAGGACGTAAGTTAATTTTGCCTTGCAAGGAATCCGGTTTTGCAAGGATTTTCGATGGGGAAACGGACAAAACGCTTTCGTTAGCAACCCAGAAACGCT